AAATCCCAGATCTATTTTATATATTCAACTTCGTTATATTTTATAAAAAAAAATAACGCCAAACTCCCATTTAATATTATTTTAAACTATTTAAATTCAATTAAGATTTCAAATCTTATCTATAAAAAAAATTACCATCAAAAATATAGAAATCAATAATAAATCACAACGAATCAATCTATCAGTCCCGATCCAAATACAAAAACCAACCACGAACGCGGATACCAACCCAAATACACAATACTAGAGGCTACCTGAAAACCAATAGAAATTCATTATTGCGGGAATTTTTATAATTTAAAAGCCAACGAGATTCCTAAAACTATCAAAAAAATAACGATTTTCAAATTTCCAAAAATTTTCGTGACGCGATACAACCATGCAAAAAAAATTTCACGAAGAAACGCAAATATCAAGACCAAGGATTGCAATCACGGATACAATCAACAACACACCGTTTTGATAGAGAATAAACAATATAGAAATCAAGAATGAACTTATAGTCGTATTATTCAAGAAACATAAAAAAATATATCTACTTACATATTCTTATGTATACGAAAAATAAACCCATATAAATAACAAGTATATTTAAAGCTCTTGAACTTTCAATACTTAACTCCTACTCTAACAGCGAAAAATAAAAAATGAGCAATATTATATCTAATTCTTTCAATTTGCATAAATGGAAATATCTACTCGTGAGATCAGAAGCCGTTGAACTTTGAAAAAAATTGACAAATACATCTATGAACCGGTGCCTAAAACCAAAGTAATCCTGAATGTTGAAGGGAACACTCTATTTTTGGATGTCTTTGGGGCAAATGCTCGGCATAGATATTGCCCGATCGATCGATGGCCTTCTGAAGCTCCGGATTATCCCTGGCGGAAGTTATAAAGTTGTGAAAGGGGCGGATGCAGATTATGCGGTTTGGGGATTTCCATAATGTTTCTTCGACTGGGTGTTCTAGCTGAACTTAGTAACGCGTAGCAATGCTGACTTAAAGCGAACCCAGACCCAGCATCCTTCGCATGGCTTCCCGTCGAAATTCGAGTCAACTATAATCAATCGTAAAATAGTTGACAGCACAAACTCCCAGTGATGGGCCGGCATCACATTGAAGCTTCTTGAGACAAGGGCTTGTTTTAGTTTAAGGGGACTAGCTAAAATAGATAATCCTGGATAGACCCGAGTCAAGGGAACAAGAAAACACCACGCGCCTAAAACTTTCAAACAAAAATCCCAGAAGCCCCCCTTCAAAAAGGAAACCCAAATGAAAACTGGAAAGAGCGAGCCTCGCCAAGGCCCACAAAGCTCCCGCAGCAACTTCGCGCATTCGTGGAGCCTTCTGAGCTTTCGAACTGCGCCGGTTTTCGAGGTGAGTTTGACTTCTTTGAAATTAGTGTTCCGGACCGTTCAAACCCGGGCTCCTGTGTGTAGGTTTTGCTCGGGATCTCTGTTGTAGGCTTCTCAGTTGTACGTCGACATTCGAAATCTACGAAGCCAAAATAAGAAGCTCTTGGCAGGGCGATGCTTGCGACTGCCTCCTCCTCGAAAGCAACCTTGCGATAAGCCAAAATTCAAGGAGCCTGCAACCTCAACACTGAAGAACCAACAACCCTACTAAACCCACAACCCAAAACTAAGCCTTGAAGTTGTTGGTGCTGCCCAGCATGACTCAAAGGCTTTGGGTTTGAGCAAACTCTAAGCCCTCACCCGCAGAATCTCCTCCTCCTTCAGCAGCGAGACGAGCGGCTGCAGTCCCCCAGCCTCTCGGTGGGCTTCACCAAGAGATCCCGTATTTGTGGCTGATAATGATGGTCGTGTTGCTGCTAAGGGCACTGCCGATGAAGAAGACGAACGTGATGACAGTGTTTGCAATCATCTTTGCTGCTTACAAAAGCCTTTCTGGCTGTACTGTTGTCTAACCCCTCTCGTAGTATCGTTCCTTATCAGAACTGTGCCGGGCTGTTAGTAAGCCAGCTGTCTTTATTCGCCCAGAAACCCGAAGCACCTAGATAAATTTGTGGAGCCCTCTGAGCTCCACCACCGCATTGAACTCTTGCTTGCTTGTCATCCCTACTGTAAATTCGGAATACGCTCGTCTGATAAACCAAGCAAAATGGCGGTTCAATCGCTGACGCATACATGGGACGATCTGTGCATGGGACCTCCACGATCTTTCCCTGGCATCTGGTGTTTCCAGCCGCCTCAGGACAGCTGCGTTGTGCTTGTTTTCGAGATGGTGGGGTTTCCGGTGTGGAACGTGCTGTGGCACGAAGAGATGTAAGCTCGACCGACCACAAGTGTTAGCATGATCCGCCGCTTTAAGGATCTTTTGAATTTCATAGGGCATTTATAGGTCTGGGACACGACCGTCATCGCCATGGGGGCCTATCGCAACCCGGAAAAGATCGAGGACCTAAAAGCGCGGCCGGACTGAGAAGGTCTTCGCTCCTCTTGCACCAAGTTCTCAAGCGTAAGGGTTCGTTTTCGAGGATTCGTGAAGTTCAGGGCCCAGGCAGGAATCCAGAGGCTTTTGGCACAGTCCCAAACATTCAAGCCACAAGGTTCCCAAACCGAGAGGGGCCCTTGCCAAGTTGTGGATGGCTCCTGCGGCTTCGACCTGCAATCGGAGCTTGCAAACGCTTCTCTTTCCTACTTTAACCTGCCAAAACCTACTTTTTTGTAGGGTCCCTATCAAATTTGCTGCTCCGGCGCAACCCTCAACACTTTTTTGGGTGGGTTTTGCATCGTGTGCTCCCGTTCTATGGCTGGATACACAAGCGGAGATCCCAACTACCGCCCCGCAGCCCTGCACCCCTTCAAACATCCCCTCCCTCGCCCTGCACTCCCCAAAAGCCCGCTCTTGAGCAGGTGCCCAGTGTGTCCGTTGACGGTGGATGGTTTAGAGTTGCGCTCGGACGGCCTTGGATAACAAGTGTAAATTCTTAAAGGTTGGGGCTCTTTGTCATCAGGACTCCTGCTATGACCGCGATGGAAGTGCCAAGCCTGAAGTTTACGAAGCATCCACGACCCGCACTGGACCTACACAGCAAAAGACTCTGACACCCTACAACATTCGCAGGGTTCAGGTTGTCTGGCGTGTTTCCGACTTTAACCTGCCAAAACCTACTTTTTTGTAGGGTCCCTATCAAATTTGCTGCTCCGGCGCAACCCTCAACACTTTTTTGGGTGGGTTTTGCATCGTGTGCTCCCGTTCTATGGCTGGATACACAAGCGGAGATCCCAACTACCGCCCCGCAGCCCTGCACCCCTCAAACATCCCCTCCCTCGCCCTGCACTCCCCAAAAGCCCGCTCTTGAGCAGGTGCCCATTGTGTCCGTTGACGGTGGATGGTTTAGAGTTGCGCTCGGACGGCCTTGGATAACAAGTGTAAATTCTTAAAGGTTGGGGCTCTTTGTCATCAGGACTCCTGCTATGACCGCGATGGAAGTGCCAAGCCTGAAGTTTACGAAGCATCCACGACCCGCACTGGACCTACACAGCAAAAGACTCTGACACCCTACAACATTCGCAGGGTTCAGGTTGTCTGGCGTGTTTCCGACTTTAACCTGCCAAAACCTACTTTTTTGTAGGGTCCCTATCAAATTTGCTGCTCCGGCGCAACCCTCAACACTTTTTTGGGTGGGTTTTGCATCGTGTGCTCCCGTTCTATGGCTGGATACACAAGCGGAGATCCCAACTACCGCCCCGCAGCCCTGCACCCCTCAAACATCCCCTCCCTCGCCCTGCACTCCCCAAAAGCCCGCTCTTGAGCAGGTGCCCATTGTGTCCGTTGACGGTGGATGGTTTAGAGTTGCGCTCGGACGGCCTTGTATAACAAGTGTAAATTCTTAAAGGTTGGGGCTCTTTGTCATCAGGACTCCTGCTATGACCGCGATGGAAGTGCCAAGCCTGAAGTTTACGAAGCATCCACGACCCGCACTGGACCTACACAGCAAAAGACTCTGACACCCTACAACATTCGCAGGGTTCAGGTTGTCTGGCGTGTTTCCAAGCTCAATACCTGCACAGGAAGCCCCAACCTAAGACGTAATCCTGCACACTGCACACTGAACCTGGCAGCCATCAAAATCACGAAAATCCGAAACGACAGAAACCAAACCTCCGAAGCCGTTAATTTCCACCACAACTCCCAAATCAGCCATAAAGCCCAGGCCCCGCTTCCCGGTTTTTCGATCCCAGAGCTCGCCTGCGCCTTGGGCTCTCGCGACTCCTTCAGCAGTCCCACTAGGCTGCGAAGGGCATCGCTTTGGCAGACCGACTCCTGCTGAACTGGAGCTGCTCGGTGCTCGGGCTCTGAGAAGCTGCTGTGGAGTCAGGGAGATCAGGGCCGAGGATGCAGGGTTTGCAAAGGTTCGGAAGCTCTACAGGGTTGAAAGTCGATCTGCGCGACTGTGGAAAAAGCCCAAGGCCGAGCGAGATGTCTTCTGCTTGAGAACGGCTTTGTTTCCAAACTTCTGAATGATGAAGTAACTGAGATTTCAAGAACAAGGCCTCCAAAAGAACCTCGGCTTCTTTTGAAACTCGCGATTTTGTTTCCCATGAACTTCAATCCCTTACGAGCTTGCAGCATCCTGAAAACCTGGCCCCTAAAGGCCCAAACCTGCAAACCTTAAAGCCTCGCTCCCAGGTCTTTTCATGAAGCCCGCAGTCCACACACCTGAGCTCCTAAAGTCCAAAGCGAAGCGCCTTGGACACCTGACCCGAAAACTCCAGGAAGCCTAAACCCTGCCTGGTTGGCTGCGTTCTGCGCTGCCAAATTCCGCAGGGCACCGGCAGCAGTCTCGGCAACGGCCGCGGCCTCCCGCAGAATTTCCAAGGTTAACTGCAATTAAACGGACCCCGGAGCGGCAACACTTGCAGTCCCTAGAAGCACCAAGCTCCTACATGATTTCCTCTATCCGGGGCCTGGAAGTGCCAATTCTCCCGAGGTGCAAAGCCATAAATACCAAAAGCAACGCAACACCATCACCCTCGCGTCCCTGCCTTGTCCTGGAGCAAAGCTCCAAGTCTCGGGAGTGCCCCGGCTTCGGCAATGGCGGCCTGACACAGGATGATATAGGATCTCGTAACTTTTGAGGCTTGTTTCTGTGTACATTTCCTGCAACTCTTTACATAGAAAATTATATACATACACACATAGATACATGGAGTGTTTTGGAGAGATGCAAGGTGTGGGCAAGGGCTGACGTCTCGGGGTTTTTTGGCTGAGTAGTTTAAGCTTGTGGTGAGGCTGTTCCAAGGCATCAAGCTGTTCCAAGATCTGGAAGGTTTCGTGAGTTTCGTGACTCTCTGCAAGGGCTCTTTGCCACTGACCTCGCCGAGATTGCAAGCACTGTTCGACCCTTCTTATGTCCCTTTCCAAAGCCACGGCGCCAAACCCTGACCGTATCGGCTGCCAGATAGCGCCAGCTTCTCTGCCTATGTAGCCCTCTTTGAAACATCGTTTTCAAGCGCCCGCAGCTCGACACCGTTTTGTCCTGAGTTGCAAAGGTAAGTCATGCCGACTTCCTGCTGAAGAATCTACCAAGCCACCATGATTACCCCTGAACCTGGTTCAAGCCACATAAGGCATTCCGGCAGAGATGGCTCTGCCTGCCTTTACTAGGCGACTACAGTCTACATGGTTTTGTTCAGGCAATGCAGAGTTTCAAGTGTCAGGGCTGTTGGTGCAGCTGGCCTGATTTCCGGCATTCGTCTCGTCGTTGTAAAAGACGAGGTTGCCCAGAGCCGCGGCCGCCTCTTCCCGGACGCTGGCCCTGAGAGTCTTTCGGTTTGGATCTTTGGGTACGACTTGGACAGCCATCGAAGTTGCAGGGGAGGTCGTGGTCAGGTCGCCGTCGCAGTTGGGTGTTTGCTTGCAAGCGCATGCCGAAAGCCCCTCAAAACGTTCCTACCGGGTTCCCGCGCATCTCGTCGTACAGAAGGCGAACCAAAGGACGAATGGCCCCTGCATGGGCCACTGCCACCTGCAGGCACACAAGGCTTATGACGGCAGCCCTCGGCGGCTCTGCGTCACCCTACAATCCGGGCATGGTTTCGGGGCTGCGGGAGTGACCAGCTTAGGGCAAAATGGTGGCATCGCGATGCATGCCTCACGGAACTCAGGCATTGAAAGCTTCCCCACAGTTTCTAGCCAAGCCCTGTGATACTAAATTCACGAGCACGACTACTGCCAGTGCGGCTGCCAACACTACGTAGTACCACACTACTCTTGCTCCCGCTGCAGCTGCTACCGTTGTTCAAAGATGACGAATTCGGCCATGACGAATGCGACAATCACTACTGCTGCCGCTTGTCATCTGCCACTACATGATCACAGCCGATGAGCCTCCAACTACGATTGCAAACTCTTTCGAGGACTCGAACCAGCTCTATTTGGGCTATGCGATGCAATCTTAGACAACTGCAAGCCGTGCTTGTACGCATGTAAGGCTTAACAGTTCTAGTATCCGATGGGCCTGCGGCTTTAGGTTCAGGCTGTCGGGTTCTTACGGTGTTGCACGACCTACCTTTTGGGGGGAATTGTGCGTTGCTTGTCCGGCGCCTGGTTGTCGGCATTGTTCGTGGCAAGCATTCGCAATGCCGAGGCTCCCGCTTCCCTCCTAAGTGAGCAGGGTTTCGAGTTCGCTTCGCCTAAAGATTCTATCGGACAAGTATCTAATATGTTTCCCATCATGCACTGCAATGGTTGGGCAGTCGGCCGGGGTTGCGGTGTTATGGATCCGGAAATCCTGATGCCTGCTTAGGTGCACTCCACCAGAACATCTCACCACCTTGCTTGCTTCCGCGGCGCAGTTCCGGCGATGCCCGTTCCAGGAGTTGAACTAGTGGTGGAACAGCGCCGGCTTGGGCTATCATCATCTGTCATGTTGTGAGGCTTTCGAACTGAGGGTTCAAGGTTCAAGGAATCTTGCTTTACAATACCCGAGCTCTCACAGCCTTAAGCCCTTTGAAAGTCCGCCGGAGGTCCCCAAATGTGATGGCACAGTGACTGTCAGTTGTAACCGACATAACAAGGACCGAGTACTAGCAGAGTAAGATACATACTGCAACGTTGATAAAGTAGTGCTCTGAAACAAGACTCGCAGACTATCGATGCTGATTCCGATCGGAAACAAAGATACTTCTAGTACAGCTCGTTACTCACCGCATCAGCAGGAGTCACACTATGAAAAAACAAGCAACAACACTAGCTTCAGCAACACTGAATGGCAACGACCCTCCTGCCAGCAGCAGCAGCAGCAGCAGCAGCAGCAGCACAGTACTCATAGTAATGAATGCAAAAGCTGAATACCAAAAGCAGGGTGAGGATTGATCGAGGCACGACAAGAATTCAAGATCAGACACTACATATTGATTGGTACCTCGTGAAGGTACCGACATCAGCACGGCAGGTCTTGGGATTTGTATCTACGGTAATTGCACAGGGGCTGTCACAGGAGCAGCTTGAATAGTAGTCTGATTAATGGTAGGAGGATTAGGAGTAGGACTGGGAGTAGGAGGAGGAGTAGTAGTAGTAGTAGTAGCTGATAGCTCTCCCTTTGCGATAGGGTTCGTGCGCAACTTGGCGCGATCCGGCGACAAAGATTCATGGAATACCACTTGCAGGTTCAGGATTCCTGTTTCGAGGTCTAGCCATGGAAGGTCTGGACTAGGTTTCCGTCTTCTAGTCTGTGCCATGCAACCCCAAGCTCACGGGATCCAAGTTCCGATGCGTAGTCCCCCCGCAACAACCCCATACTCTAAGCCAAGCAACGAACAAGCTGGCCATTCATCGCAACTGTTTGCGGTACACCTCAAACCCTTTACTGCGTGCTAGCGGTTCTGATGGCACGCGACATACGCTGCCCAACTATACAAAGAACATGTGGCAATAGCGCACCGCACCACACATCACCACACTATACGGTACCTTTGGCAATTTGGTGCATGTACACCAGTCTGTTTCTCATGCACCAACTACTTCGTGTATTCTCGTCGGTCTTGCTTTGCCATTGCTCGGAAAACACTGCTCACTAGTGCTTTTGGCACGGATACGAAAAAAAGACATGGCCATCTGCACCTGCTTGTCGAAGTGGTTCTCAGAGCTGTCGCCAGCCAAGTTTCCAAGCGCCGCTGCCGCCTCGTGATCGGGCTTTAGCTGCGAGGTCCGTGACATTCACACATCCGATTGGATTAATTAGCATCTATCTATCCATGTATAGGCACCGAATCATACACCCTGATAACACAAGCTTGCTCTTGTTTGCCGTACGCTTGTGATGTTTTTGCCCTTGGTCCATAGATGCGCTTTACTATACTAGACAGGCCACATACCTGCTGACAGAAGGCTTATACATTCATCGTTTATTACTCATTGAATAGTCATCAACATTACTATCGTGACGATCGCGTCCGCTCAGTTTTGCCTGGAAAGTTCCTCCTTGCATCGCAGATAGGCCCTACACCCGTGAATCCTAAACTCAATGCACCAAGGGTCTCTTATCTTGCAGGCGCTCACCCTCAATCCCATTGACAAGGCGATGTAAAACATCCTGTCCATGCCCTCAAACCTGCATCCCAAACCCAATATCTTACGCACCGGATCTCCTCTGCCCCGTAAACCCTGTGGCCTGAGCTTGAACACCCTGGTCAGAGTGAGTGAGGAGGTTGATCAAAGGCGTGATTGCCCCTGCCTGCTCAAGAGCTTGAGATTCGGGGTTTAGCAACTGCGACAAAGCTGGTGTACATTAGGGTTTGGGGAAGGGGCGCGTGGGTTGGGCAAGCGGGGCGTGTGGGTTTTCGTAACCGTCGCGCACATTGAATCGGCCTGTTATAGCGCCGTACTGTCGTTCGCTGACATAAAGCGGATAATTGACTAACTAAGGCCTGTCAGCTACACTATTCCGAGAGCTTAGGGTTACAATAAGCCCAGCAGTCCAGCAAAGCCTCACTTTACCAACGAAGAGCCCTACCCTAAATCTCAGCTCTTGCTGAAGCTGCCGCACCGGATGTTACCACAAGAATAGTAATGAGCTTGCATCAGGCTCGGCTGCCGGCAGAAACTGAAAATCAGCTAGGACAAGCTCAGCCCTGCTGGAAAGGTCCTATGAGAGGTTCGTGCAGGGCCATTGAAAGCCCCCTGCATTTTCTATCGCTTACATACCCTATGTCCCTGAAGCCTCCCTCCAACAATCATGGGTTGTGAAGGATCGTACCTGCAGCTACAGCCGTAAGAAAAACATGCCGTTCTCCCATGAACTTAAATTCCGTCTTCAATACGAACCAGAACCCATCTTCCTCAACGTAAGTGCAGGTTTCAGGGCTCGCCTTCGCGATGGCGAGCTGGGCAGCGTTGTGGTTAGCTGCCAAATTTCCTGAGTCACACAAGGCAAATTCAGTCAGTGGCTAAGCCCGAAGCAGAAAGACCTTGGGGCAGGAATTGCAGGCTCTACACCAGTTGGCACATCACCATGTATATACCATGGTTCATAGGGCTCGAATGGCCGCAGCAGCGCGGAACTATCGGTAGCCCCAGTGCCCATGGAACGCACGCCTTCGCCTGGTGCCGCGCTTGCGAGGCGGCATGCAGATCTTTGACAAGACCCTGACAGGCAAGACGACTACGTTGGACGTTGAGGCCAGTGGCACGTTCGACACTGTCAAGACGCAGTCCCAAGATAAGGCAGGCATCCCGCCCGACCAGCAGCACCTGATCTTTGCTGGCAGTCAGTTTGACTGCGGCCGTACTCTTTCGGATTACAACCTGCAGAAGGAATCGACCCTTCATTTGACGCCGCACTTGCGACGCGGCATGCAGATCTTCGTCAAGATCCTGACGCTCTCCTTAGACGTTGAGGCCAGTGGCACGTTCGACACTGTCAAGGCGCAGTCCCAAGATAAGGCAGGCATCCCGCCCGACCAGCAGCACCTGATTTTTGCTGGCAGGCAGTTTGAGGGCGGCCGCACTCTTTCGGATTACAACCTGCAGAAGGAATCGACCCTTCATTTGACGCCGCACTTGCGACGCGGCATGCAGATCTTTGTCAAGACCCTGACAGGCAAGACGACTACGTTGGACGTTGAGGCCAGTGGCACGTTCGACACTGTCAAGACGCAGTCCCAAGATAAGGCAGGCATCCCGCCCGACCAGCAGCACCTGATCTTTGCTGGCAGTCAGTTTGAGTGCGGCCGTACTCTTTCGGATTACAACCTGCAGAAGGAATCGACCCTTCATTTGACGGCGCACTTGCGACGCGGCATGCAGATCTTTGTCAAGATCCTGACGCTCACCTTGGACGTTGAGGCCAGTGGCACGTTCGACACTGTCAAGGCGCAGTCCCAAGATAAGGCAGGCATCCCGCCCGACCAGCAGCACCTGATTTTTGCTGGCAGGCAGTTTGAGGGCGGCCGTACTCTTTCGGATTACAACCTGCAGAAGGAATCGACCCTTCATTTGACGCCGCACTTTCGACGCGGCATGCAGATCTTCGTCAAGATCCTGACGCTCACCTTGGACGTTGAGGCCAGTGGCACGTTCGACGCTGTCAAGGCGCAGTCCCAAGATAAGGCAGGCATCCCGCCCGACCAGCAGCACCTGATTTTTGCTGGCAGGCAGTTTGAGGGCGGCCGTACTCGTTCGGATTACAACCTGCAGAAGGAATCGACCCTTCACTTGGCACCGCACTTTCGAGGCGGCATGCAGATCTTCGTCAAGATCCTGACGGTCACCCTGGAACAGCAGCTGCCACGTGACGGAGTTTCGAGATTGCTTAGTTTCCGACGTCAAATGCTGATGAGGGGTAATTCAACTTTACAGAGCAGTAAGAATGAACCTGCCAAGGTATTGCTTGCTGTCTGTTTAGCCGAGTAGGGCTGCCGGCTGGAATGTGGAATATGACCCTAGCCACATCGTGCGAGTATGCATTTTGAGCGGAACTGCGCGGAACCGCAGCTGCACCGCTCGCCTCCTTGGACATGATTTTGCACTCACCCTTGCTGCTTAGTGTGTTTGTGTTTGGACAGTTGGTTACCTTTTCCGCGGCCCAGTGCGTGTAAACGCTGTCACTGTGCGCATTTTGTGGCCGCGTTGAGGGCTCCGGCGGTTTGGATGGCCTCTCAGGAGCCCGGTTTGGAGGAATACCTTCCGCTTTCGGGTGATCGTGTCCTGCTCTTCCGTTTGTTACCCTGAGAGCACACCACCACTCACTACTGTAGTCGTGGATTTCTGCTCCAGGGTTCTGTTCTCGGTGGCTTTTTGGTAGCCCGCAAGGGATACCAGGCGCTTTGAATCAGCCAGGTCTGTGGCCTTCTTTGGCAAAGCCTGAAGGTCTGCAGGAGTGCTGCTTTAACTTTGATGTTGGCTCCGTCTTGTCTTGATTTTGCATGTGCTCGGGGATGGCTTTTCTGCCTTAGGCGCCAGTTAAATCCTCGAACATGTGATTCCCAGCCTTAGCGCATACTGGTACGTGTCCAGATTTCTGCGCGAGGATTCCCTAATTAGATGCAAGCCAAAGGGCCGCGTCGCTACGACTCTTCGCCCGAAACAGCAGAAACAGCAGACCATGGTTCATGGCTACTGATCCTTGTCATCCTTCCGAAAGCGGTCATGCTTTGGAGTGTACACAGGAGTTTTCAAACGCAGAAGTTTCTCGCTGAATCTGCTTCGCCGCCTTCTTGATTCTGCTCGTAGTAAGAGCATGCCTCCAGTGCTGACTTGCTGTGATCATTGAATTTGTGGATGGAATGCCTATTACACTCGTGGTAAGAATAACGCTTACAATAGTTATGTCCGCAGACACGATAGCGACACACGTTGGAGTGATGTGGCAATCTTGGTCACCGAAGACATGGTAGCCATAGTGATACCCTAAGTTAAGCTTCATAGTCTCGTCTCAGCCCTTCCAAGAGTTATAAACAAAGCCAATTCCCAAACGACGCCGAGGATTCCAAAGCTCAAGTTCACGGCGCAGCCACGTGGGGAGGATAGATGTGATGCTGGACATGGGCCCTGATGTCGCGCCATCCGACACTCCATCCTAGACCCACCGACCCCGATACTGCAGCACAGCATCGTATCGCACTTGCCGCAGCCTTTGTCGGCACCTCAGGCTTTGAGCGACTGCGGCTGCTTTGTATTCACAATGGGGTTTTGGAAAACGCAACAATAGTCATGGGCAGGGATTCAAGCCATGAGGAAGGCTTGTTGCCTGACTTTTGAATGCTTTCCTACGACACCGAGCAGTAGCAGTAGCAGTAGTAGTAGCAGTAGCAGTCGGAGTAGGAGTGGCAGTAGTACTAGTAGTAGTAGTAGTAGTAGTAGTAGTAGTTGTAGTAGTAGTAGTAGTAGTAGTCGTAGTAGTCGTAGTAGTCGTAGTAGTAGTAATTGTAGAAGTAGTAGAAGTAGAAGTAGTAGTAGTAGTAGTAGTAGTAGTAGTAGTAGTAGTAGTAGTAGTAGTAGTAGTAGTACTAGTACCAGTACTAGTTAGACTACTACGACGACTACTACCGCTCCTCCTGGTCCCGCCGCCATTAAAATTTCCATAACTTAGCTTTGCTATCATGTGAGGTGTTTTGATGTTGAAAAGTTTTGCTGGATTGAAGTCTTCGTGATTGATACTGCTGCTTTTGAAGTTTCTCTCCTGACCGCCATGACTATTATCGGGCCTGGGTCTCCAATCAAACACGAGCGGTGATCACATAATATTGAAACCACTAGCTCTTCGATACTGGAGCTTTGAAGTACGTCGGAGTACGGGATCCTCCTCATGCCGAGGCTGGGGCGGAAGAGTCGGAGCCCAAGAGCCTCCAAAGAACAAGCAACAAGCAAAAGCTTAAGCTTCTTGGTGCAGCATTGCAGGTATCACTTCGATTTCGTGCGTCGTCCTTCATACTTCCACAGTTCGATGATGGAGGCTATCGTTCCCAGTAGTGCAGTAGTGCCATTGCGGAGATACCGCTTCCGTAATTCTTGCAGTACTATGTTGGTAACACTGCATGCTGAGGTTTTAAGCTTGGATGCACCTGTCTACTTTGTGTCTCTCTCTCTCTCTCTCTCTCTCTCTCTCTAACAATATATATATATATGTACGTATGTATACATATGTTAATACCAAACTATAGAAAAGCACAGCGATGGGTGACGAATTCATTGCTTTGGATCGGGGTTGAAGCGATCCTTCACATCTGTCTTTTGCTGTCTTGCGCAGACCATCGGTAGAGAAGGCTGTGGGATGGCTGCGCATTGTCATTGTCTAGCTCTGAAGGTTCTGCAGTTGCTTGAATATGCGGCTTCCCCCAATTTTTCTGTTTGGTGAGGGTGCCCTCCAAGGGGCTCTGCTCCCTGCACTGTACGAAGTGGCGCGCATTTAGGTCCGTACAACTCCAGACATAGGATCTAGATTGTATCGTTCTATCAAACCAAATGGTTTTCGTCCTTGGAGTGTGCAATGAGAATGGAACCCAAGTTGCGATGAGCATCGCCCTGAATGTGGTAGTTCAGGAAATGGGGTCTAGGCCACACCACTGCATCGTCGCTCTAAAGCATCACTGTTGTTGCACCGCTACACCATCAGACGGGTAGTCTTGATATTGGGAGCTCTAGCTATGCAAAGTCGCCAAATCTAAAGACCTGGATAGGGCCGACCCGCTCTCTCCACTTACAGACGCCAGCATGCACCTGCCATATTGTTACCTGTGCATACACACAGCTGGGCGCACACACGCACACACACGCACATATACACACATATGCCTTCCTCCTAACCATATCATGTTCCGAAGCAAAGGACAGCTGTCGCAGGAGGCCCTCCGAGACCCGAGTACCGTGTTTACGGACTTTGCGCGCGGTTTCCTGGGCTTCACAGGGTGAAACGGATTTGAGATTTCCCCAAATCGCGACGGTTTTGAGGTTGAGAGTTTGGGGCCTTCGAGCCAGCAACTTCTCCGATAGTCTTTTGTGCAGTACGTACGAACTGACAGCCTCGACCAAATCAAACGGGTTTTGTGACACGGATCCATTATTTAACCGAGTGGTAGTTCTCTAGCTAAGTTAAGTTAAACATACTGACGACCGGCGGCGGCGGGGATAATTATGTTGATGCGGCTACAAAATGCTGATGCTTGTGTCGCTGCTCGCACTTCTCGGGCGAAGGCGACGGCTACTACCGCTGCTGCTGGTTGCTACTTCTACCAGGCATAGCGGCAGCAGTATTGAACGAGTTGCGAGTAGAAGTCGCAAGCACCGTAGCAGCTGCGGAGGAGTAGCAGTAGCCGGTGCAGCATTCGAACCAAGGACATGCACTGGCACCTGTCCGCAGAGGTCGAGAAAGAGTGCCAGCACTAGCGACGGTAAGCATGGATGCTCATTGTAGGAACAACTGTGGTTCATTTGCCGCATTCATTTTGCTTCTGTGTTCGTGGCTCCACAGCTCATTTGTACAAAGACCGCCAGCGTACGACGTCCGCAACTGTTGTATGTAACCTTAAGGTATCCTTGATAACGCCGATATCACCAACCCTTTCATAGCCTAGGCATCATTTTGCGTCATCGTCAGTACTATGTATGATGACTATGACGTTACTATGGAAGATTCAGGACAACTTTCACTGCCTCGGGCTTTCACAGACCCCAAGCCCAGTCTTCCAAACCTGCCGACTCTGATTCGGATCGAAGAGATCCATGTGGCCCCCTCCCCACATTGGCAGTCGGGGGCCCTTCTGAAGCCGGAGGCAGCAGCCCTTTAATTGGGGGCATTGGTCCGATCGCAACCGAATCTCTATTTCTGGTCCTTAAATTTCTCAGCCAATTTGCAGTTAGTTGTGGCAGGTGAGACAAGGCTGTTACAGGTTTTGTAGGGAGGCCGTGACCAGCACGCACTGGGGCCGAGAGCAAGCCAGTAGAGCAAACTCCCCGCCCTCGTGGCAGCAACAGAACGGTCGAGAATTTAGGTGCATGCAGTTAACCATCTTCTGACATTTCAACCTGCTTCAGCAGCACAGCCGTGGGATTCGTCATCTGACAGGTGCAATTGGGGTCCATTCGTCTGGGTACCGCTCTCAGCGTCCTCTGTCTGGCTTGCCTGCATTGATGTTCTGGTGTTCGCAGAGATGCTTTTGCAATCACAAATGTTTTCACATAGGCTTGCACTTCGAGTGCTACCTGTAACTCACAACTCTCGGATCTGACCTTCCTGGACTCCCCATCCGACCACAAACATATGCAACGGAGGAACATATTTGGAGCTTTGCAGGCTGTAGCCCTATTGCCAGCATTTCTTCTGGTGGTCCTGGGTATTGGGCCCAAAAACTTCACATAAAAGCACGAAGCTGTAAACCATGTTTAAGTTCCGGATGCTTGACCTCGCTGCTTCCGGTGTGTGCATATGGCAAGCAAACATACACGGGCTTCTGAAAAACGAGGCTCCACGATCTCTGGGACAGCATCACATTGACAAGATCTTCTCCATGTATAGTAGTCTAGAAGCTCAGACTTGATGATCAGGCCTTGAGGAGTTGCTCATTCGGGTTTCTAGGTAGTGGAGGTTTCCGTACGTGGATTGGGGACTGCATGTCGGAGGCTCGACAAGTAGTCGTACACTGCGTCAGTGCGCCGATATGCCATTTTGCATACTGTACAACATCCGGTCTAGGTGTTGTAATCAAGTGCTTTACGTGCCTCTACCGGGGCAATGCACGTGAAGCGCTCAGGCTTCAGAAGCCGCCACGGTCCGATGTAATCTGAAGAAAGCTTCTCAGCATGCTCGTACAGCTGCGATGAGTGCCCCGACCAACTTCGAAACGAGTTCATGAAGACTCCTGTACGCCCTTGTGCATCCTTCACCGAGTTACTGTGTTGTCGACCGTGAGTTGAAAAGACAAGGCACCAAATCACATGCTCTCGAGTTGCCCTCACTTCTGCAGCTCCGGGCCGGATGTTCTACGACTGGACGGCCTCGGCCTGGGGACTGGAGGATTGGCTCTGGACAAGAACTGAGGAACAAAGACGAGGGCAGCCGTCGCCGTGAAGATCAACAACTCGCAACACTCACTGCTCAAACTCATTCTGTTCATACTGGCAAACGGACTATGATGCAAAGGACGATCATGGCTTGTAACATCATGATCACCATCACCATCATCCGGAACTCTCGTAATCGAAGGTCGACCCTCCCGTGTACAGGCAACGAAGTGAACTTCTCTTGTAGATTCCTCAAAACTGACTGATAAATTGTACTAACAGAACCTCGAAGGTTGAAAGCTGCAGCCGGATGCCTCACAGAGTGGCTCCCTGGCCCATGTCCACGCTTTCTGGCAGCTGCGGTGTCTCGTACTTATCCAGCCGGGGCGCATAACGCTCCTCCAGGGAGTCGCGGGCTGGCTTGTAGGGATTTTGCGACCAGGATGTGGGTTGACCTAATCGTGGCCAACTGTCATGGACACAGGTCCTTGGGTGTTGGAGTCAAGTCGCGTGGCTTCCGTCTCCGGCAGCAATAATAGTCGAAGCAGTTGCAGCAGATCATACAGCAGCAACAGCACTTGGCCGTGCAACATCTCGCACACTTGGAGCACTCCTGCCCCCAGGCATGCCGCAGCTCTTTGCTGGTGCACTCAGCGCAGCACAGGGGCACGCAGCAAAGACAAAGAGCGAGGCCACCAGCAGCGCAACCCAGTGTCAGAGCCAGAAGTCCCTTCCCGCTGGAGTCAAAGCTCCACTGCTGATCCCAATCCTTGTGTGTTGGGGCCCTGGCCCCGCCAGGACTTAGTTTATGTATGGGTAAGCTAGCATGTCATTTCTAACCAGCAGCTACAGATCCTGTGTCCTGGTTATGACAGCAAAGTTTTCCGTCTGCAGAGAGGACTCTGCGCCGTCGCCCTCCACTGTTAAATCCTTCATCGCGCCTATTGCGATGAAGAGCCCTGATGTGACCTCGGGCAGTCTCAAGCTGTTGCCTACACACGAAGAGTAACCGTGACCTTGAAGCCAAAGTGACAGCAGTTGTCATCATCGTCATGGCTGTACAGCCAGTTGATTGTAGATTATCTTCCTAGGATTCCCCTGGAAAGTTTAAGGATCAACTGAGATTCAGTTCGAGGCTACGTATCCCGAAAGTCAAGCACCAAAACCCGGACAAACCCCAACGGAACCACGGATTTTACTCATAAGCGTGCAGCTGCCCGGAGAGTCTCGGCAAAGTTTTAAGCCCAAGCTGTGCCCTTAGCCCTCGGCCATCACCAGGACGATGAGGAAGCAGTAGCACCGGAAGCAGCATTTCTCTTGAAAGCTCGCCCGCCCGCCTTTGCAGAAGTGCGGATTTCCTGGCTCTCCGCATCTATCTGTCTGCTCCTATATACGTGGAAACATGTACGTATCCATGTATGTATGCATGCACGGTGACGATTTTCAATCATGTGGGTTTTTGAATATGTAAACAAACATTTTATGCGATCTGAGTGGTCGTCGGGCCCGGGCGGCCAAGTCGACTTTCAAAACTTTACCCTATAAACAGGTAAGTGATCCATCCATACAGCAGGGAGCCTCAGCCTTCCTCTTTCCTGAAACCTGGGAAGCCTCGGAAATCCTCAGGAAACTGAAGCCAACATGATCCAATTGGCCTCATTGGCTTTGTGAGACACGCCCGCCTCGTTGCCCCAGCTCTGATAGAGCTCTCTTCATTCGGCGAAATTGCTTGCAAAGCGTGTGCTGCAGATTCTGGATGTGGGGTTGGTTGCTAGGTCTGTGGTCGTGCTTCGTTGTCGTGGTGTGTGTGTAGGTAGGTAGGTAGTTGGGTAGTTGGGTTTGATAGGGGTGGGCCTTAGCGGCCCTGGCCCATGACACAAGTAGCAGGCACTGTAACGCTTGTCGGTCAACTGCGAATCCGACTTGAACCATTTTGTGTTTCGACTTATTGTCGTTGCAGCAGTTGAAGTGCACTTCTCGCTTTTGCCGAGGTTTTGCTTCTCAGCAGCTGCAGTTCCTCGTGGGGGTGGGCTTTCCTAGCGGTTGTTCTGAACGACAGCTCGTGTAATGGTCCTGGCTATCAATGGGAATCTTGCCGGGATCCCGAGTTTTGAGAAATCCCTGTGGACGCAAAAGCGCTCCAACAAAGCCAAACGCGACGGCATCGTCTGAACATGCACTCTCAACCTCACTTGTGCCGTTCTGTCGTGAGGACACCGAAGTCTTTGGGAAACTAAGGAATCACAATTTAGCCAGCAGCTGCTTGGGTTTGAATTCTGCGGCTGGGAACAGCAACACCTCCATGTGGGGGCCCACAGTTTCTAGTGGTCCTAGGTGGCACAGACGCAGACGTTGTTGCACTATCCAGGCAAAAGATATCCAACTCTTGTGATGGATGTTTCCACCATGGATCCAGCTCCTCAGGCTCAGCCGGACCCCTGTCGCTCTAGGTAGGGCCAACCTGCTTGCGAGCTCGATTTCTGCATACCATGCCTCTATCGGAACTTGCTAGAAGTCTGCACGCCTCTAGCCTTCGAGCCCTCGGGAAGACTCGGAACCTGAATCTCAAATGTCAAACCCAGAATCCTCCGAGACTGCACCCAGGAACGCCGAAATATCTGCAGCTTCATACGCCCTGGAAGCTTCCAAAGCCCGTGCACTTCACGCAAACTACTCCCTGCGACAGAGTGTTCGTGTGCGACGAACACGGCGTATAGAAGAAATCTGCCACTCCTGCGGGGCTCTGTGCCTGAACACTTCCAATTACTCTGAACGATGTGGCCTCCCCAGTGCAGACACTGCACCGGCACGAAGGAGCGTCGACTGGGCAGCCTGTCATGCGAGTTGCTTCAGGACTCTCAGGAATGAACTCGAGAAGCCTTCATCTTCAAGAGACTCGCTCCATCAAACATTGAGAATTGTGGTGCAGTCCTGCCAGTCATCGTCCAGTCTTCGTTGACATGCGGCAGGACTTTTGTGTTCTTGGAATTCGAAGCCATGTCACAAAGCTTTGACTTAAACCTTCCGGTTCATGGTTCGCGGGATAACCGGAAGACCTTTTGGCGTGCCACACTGACGACTTGACAAAGATATAAGACAACCTTTCAGCAAACCATATTCCAATCAAGTACCCCCAAGAAGCACCCAAAGGGAGTTCCCTTAAGGGTGTTCCGCGCCTCTCCATCTGCAGCCAAAACTCCCAAGGCAGCCGCGGCTGCCTGGCTTGGTCTTTCGCTTCTTCTTTTCTGTTCAGTTCAAGCTAGGGCTTCGGTTTTGAGGCTCCGCGGTGTAGTGGTGGAGGCGTTCAAAACAGCTCGCATCGTGTTTGTTCAGAAAGAGCGTGCTAAATAAGTGTACATGTCAACGGCAATGTAGGCCTGTTCGTGCATGAAACCCAAACCGGCATATCTGTATCCATCTATATCTACATATATGTATATACACATGTATATACACATAAAAGTACAATACTCGCATTCAAGGGCCCCCGCAGTAGATATGCATAGGTTTATATGTGTATAAAACATGTAAACATATACAGTTATTGACATATACAACAACCTCTCTCTCTCTCTTTCTCTCTCTCTCTCTCTCGCTATCTGTATATGCAGTAGTAGTAGTAGTAGCAGCAGTAGCAGCAGCAGTAGTAGTAGGAGGAGGAGTAGTAGTTGGAGTAGCAGTAGCAGTAGTACAAGTACTAGTAGTAGGTTCTAGTAGTAGGTGTAGTAGTAGTCGTCGTAGTAGTAGTAGTAGGAGCAGTAAGAGTAGGAGTAGTAGCATAATATTCGACTGCTCGTTCTCGGCAAGCTCCGGGAGCCTGGTCGTTGTTATGGGCTTATAAAACTCTGGCATGGACCGGGTAAGGTACAACAGCAAGGAGCAGTTAGAGCAGCAAGGGTAATAAAAACAATGACGAAAGCAATGCTGAGAATAGTCGCAGAGGTGATGCTCCTCGTAAAACCCGCCTCCTGGAGCACCGGCGCGCTGGAGTCGCGCAGTAGCTCGACCAAGGGCAGCACTGCACCAGCCTCCACACAAGACTCAGTTCGGTCATACTGAGATTTTGGATATGTTGCACTTGACTACATCAGATATAAGGACTGGAAGCGAACCCTTTGATGATCGGCTCGTCCGGCATTGAGCGGGCTGTTGAATGCATCGACGGGTGCAAAGCTAGTGCTTTTAGCCGCCGGATTTTTCTTGCGAGAGATGGCCTGCGCTGGGGAGCGTTTTTGCGTTCGTTTTCTGACCGGAGCTGGATGATTGTCCTCAGCTTCAGTACGTGCCCTTGACTCAAAGGGGCAGGCAAGAATGACAGAGCCCTAGACTCGAGCCATGGAAGTTTGTCAACATAGCAGTTCACTTGCAGCAATTGCCGCAGTTTGTGCAACAGTGCTTTCTTGTTCGGTTGTGCCCGTTCTTTTTAAGGACGGGATGTGTAGAGTGCATTGTGCCGACATGCAACCGAAGCTGCCATGAACTCTACGTCGCTGCTTCCTTGACCACAGGCCTCGGTCAGCTGTTAAAACAGGCAATCTCTCCCACTCTCCCAAACCCCTCCGAATCGAAAACCATCAACCTCAAATCACAAACCCCAAGGCCGACTCCCTGCGAAGTCTAAACCTTAAGCCGGTGGATGAAAATGCCTCAACCCGGAATCCTACTTCGTAGTGCCTGGAGGATGGCACTCCGCATCGCCACGCCCTCGCGAGCAGTGCTCAATAGGCTCATCAGTGCCCGGTGGCGCTCCTCGCTTTTTCAAGCTCCGAGTTTGGTGCTCACGGATTCATGGACTGCGTAGATGCTTTTTCAGCCTTTCGGGCTGCTGGGAGGTTCAGGGTTTCGGATGTTTCGGGTTCGGCTGCCTTCAAGGCCCAGTCGGAGTTTGGGCTTGTAGCATGGGAAGCCTTTCGAGTTTCAGGAACTGGCAAATGTCCTGGGAACAAACGAACAACCTCGCCTGCTGGACTTCTTCGGTTGATTGGGGTGTTTAAGGGTTCCGGGTTTAGGGCTTTGGGGTTTGGTGCATTTGGCTTATAAATAGGAGTTCGGATTACGCTTACCACATCCTGATTCTGAAGATTCTTGCACGGCCATGTCTGACTTTCCGTAATCGATGGCTCCCTTCACAAGGCACTCTTTGGGACATGCCTGAAGCCTTAACCCCGAGACTGCAAAACCCTCTAGATCCGAAGCCCTTGCTCCAAGCATCCTCGAGGTTGCGAGCCCTGAGATGCTCCACCTGCTCTGGTGCTTCTGGTGCTTTCTTGCATAAGGGCTGTAAGTTTTGAGTGCTCAGGCTGGAGGCGAGCTTCTCTTCAGGGCTCTGGGTTCTTTGGGTTAGGGGAGAGTGCGGATTTGGGTTCTTGCGCGTTGTGCTGCTCCCTGTCGCCAAGGGCAGAGGGTCTGTTTGAAGCCAGGGTTTCCGATTTGGGAGGTCCCTGAAGAGGCCTCACTCAATCTCCATGAGGATGTAGGGATCTCAGTGCTCTGGAAGTTAGGATCTAGAGCGGTGCCATAACTTGTTGTTTGAGCGAGCAGCATGCCAGCGGCCCGATCGGCTTGAAGTGTCACAGTCTGGAACAGTTTCAACCCCCAAGTCCAGTGCCCAAGCTCAATGAAGTAGGCAGATTTCTATACTACGCTACCGTACCCACAGGTACCCATATACACCCGAAACATCTGGTGCCGAGAAACGCTCTGAACTCCTGGGTCCCGAGCGTAAATGATCAGATCCGGGCTCTTGCCGCGGGCGGTGAAGGTCATTGGCGGGGCCCCCGCCCTGGCTCTTCGGCAGGTCAGGTAATGTAATGGCCTTATTCATTAGAACAGGGTTTTGGGGCCCATTATACTACAATGATAAGGAGGAACCACCAAAATGTATGGGTAATTTTTAAAATGGCACCTCTAGTAGCGCTGCAGGCTTCAAGGCTCCACCCGAAGCTTGGGGCGTAGTGTGTTTGGCTTCAGTTTCGTTGTTGGGGGTGTAGGCTAGGCCCTAAACTCCAAACCCCTAAGGTTTGGGGATGTTTAGGGGGGCTCTTGACCTTGGAGTTCCGATGTTCAATTTGGAGCTTAGGTCTCAGGTTAAGGGGTGTAGGGTTTAGGGTTTCGGTTCCAGATGTTCCACGACGTTCTTATAATCTTATCTGAGAATCAAAGCTTGTTTTTCCGTGAGTGCTCTTCTCAAGTCCTTCTTCACCTATCGGCAGGCCGGCCTCCGGCTCTGTTTAGCCACTAACAGCAGAAACTCTAGTGCAGTCGGTTTAATATCTAGAAACGCTCATCCCTTGATGCCTGTTGTGGTCTTCTACTACGATTTAGGCTCTTTGCTGTAGAAAAATCTCAAAGTCCCAATCCACACTCAACTCTGTTGCTTCTTGGGCATCGGAGCACAGGGTTCAGAGCATTGGGCTTCGGATCCAAGGTTCCTTTTTTTCTTCTCAAGTGTAGTGGCACTTCTGCTCAAGGTTTGTAAGGTACAGCTCGCGGTAAAAGCCAATGTGGTCGCGGTTTGCCGTACATTTGGGCCAAGGGGGGGTGCTCTCAAACCAGGTGCTTGGTGTAAATCGAGGCCTGTGGCAAGTCAGAATGGTGTTTTTCAGGGGGGTTTTAGCCTTCCGACTCCTTTAAAAACCGAGGCCCTGAAACCCCGAAGCCCTGATGCCTTGACGGCAACGACTCGGGAGGGATCATGGAGATGGAGCCTTTGCTCTGCTCTGTCTAGGGTCTGATAAGGGGTGTGCAGGCATTTTTGGGCTTTAAGGCCTCCAATTTGCAGCCTAGTTTGAGTGCTGGTGCGTAGGGTGTCGGAGTGTGGGGCTTCGGGTTTTGCGGTTCAGGTTTTGGGTGGCTTTCGGGCTTCAGGGGTTTGGGACCTGCGGGCTTCCGTATGTTGGTTCGTCAGCTCAGAAAGAGGGTCTCTGTAGTGGTTGTAGCAGGCGCTAGATGAGACATTATCTGCATGCAGAATCTGGCAGTTGAGGATTATTTTGGAGTGCTGTGTGTTGTGTATTACGTTGCGTTCTGTGTGTGAGTGCGTGCTTGTGTGCATGCATGTGCTTTCGTTCTGTGGTGTGCGTACTTGTGCGCATCACTCCATGTCAGAACAGGCCCGTCGCCCATCATGGTTCCTCCGTTCAGGTTCCATGATACTTTGGGTGGGTGCATCCACGAATATACAATCCGCGGTCAGGGCCTTCCATCCTCTCCGCACTGACTGAACTGAAAACTCTTCTACCTGACGCAGGGGAAAGAAAACCCTTTACGACAACAACTACAGCAGGGCACTCCATGAAACACCAGACAGCACATGAAATTATTGAAACCTCCATGCTACCCTTCAGCCGACAACTCCCCTCTTCCGCTGGCACAGCCGGAGTACCAAGGGAAGATGTGGTGCCGACTCCCGGTGCAGATCGACCTCGGAAGCTGCACGCTCCGCTTGGCCTAACAAGTTGGGACTTGGGGCCTTGATCAGTTCGAGTTGTCGCAGGCAGCAGATGGCAAGCCTTTCCATTGACTGTCCTACGCCATACGCCCTTGACCAGTCTCTGCTTTGGCACCCAGCTGCTCCTCAAATGGAGGGTGATCCGATCAAACCAGGCGCCTGAGAATCTCTCGCTTCAGCCTTGAGCCTTGACGAACATGCCACGTAGACTCTATAAAACCCAAGGAAGATAAGGACAGGGTTGCTCATACTGTCATACTGGCAATAGTCGCAACAGTTCGACCAACAGTAAGAATTCATATGATACGAACAAACAACTGCATCAGTCATCGCAAAAACAGTAAAGTGGCAACGATGGTACTAACAGAAACCACAGCTATAGCAACCGCAACCGCGAGTGACACATGCATCCCAAGTAAGGAATAAAAGGGTTTCGCTAAAAAGCCTGAGCAGGAACAACACCTTAAATGCCTAACCTGATCTCGAGCCCAAACTAGGATAACCACTCTTACCCGGGGCCAATGATGATTCTTGCAAGTCATGATTACCCCAAGCCCCAGACCCTTGTGACTCATGGCTGCTGACAGGCGGCTTGCATTAATGCCCTGCAGCATATTTTCGGCCGTAGCACCTTCCGAAGTTTCGGGTGTAGTAGTTGCTAAAGATTTTGCCTCAGTGTTTGTGCGAGGCGACAGGCAATTTCACGGCATGAGTCGTTTGAGGGTCGTTTCGGGATCACCAAAGGGTTTGTGGTTTTGGGGTTTTGCCGGTCCACCACAGGTTGGGCTTTTAGGCTTCTTGGTGTATCTACGCGGGTTCGGATCTCGAGTCTGGAGGCTTGAAATTTAGCCGGATCTGCGAGAGCGGGCCCCTAAACTACGAAACACTTTGCCTCGATCTCCTCAGGCATTGAATCACGAAGAGATATTCTTGATGATGCTCCCTCAGCCATATCTTATCCGATAGCTGCTGTTAGACCCCAGACACCCCCAAAAGGCTTCAGGGTTGCGGTTTTAGATTGCAGGCCTGGGCTGAAACAAAGGAAACTCTGCAAGTTCTTCGATCCAAATGTAAGCATATCTCGACAGCATGGCCACCTCTTAGCCTCCCTCCTACAGCAGCTTGGAGGTCTTATGCCCGGAACGAAGTTCAAGGGGCAACGCCGGAAAAAAAGAAAGACCTGAATCAATGAGGCATTTGGAGGACCCGAAACTCAACACCATGATTCCAGGACCATGATCTACAAACCTGCAGATAGGGGGGTCTCTTGAACTTCGGTGGCTTCCAGTTTGGGGCCTAAGCTGACACTGGCAGGTCACTGTCACGCGGTTAAGCCTGAAGCCGCTAAGCCCCAATCTCATAAAGAACGAAATCCCAACACACGGCACTCTTGCCGTGCCGAAGTCTGGTTCAGTTCAATCTCGAAGTTGAAACTTTGAGCATCTCTACGGGTTTAGGACGTTGAGATCCGCCTTGTATGGCATCACTGCCGTTGCCGGAAAGGTGCAGACCTCCTGAACGAGCTCACGACAGGTGATCTCACAAGCATAACTAACTAGAAATAGTATCCCCGTCCAGTCCTCATATAACCATCGTCCAGTGGAATATACAAAAAATCCTATTCGGTCTTCAAGGACCCCAGCTAACATCGTATTTTGGAAAACTCAGGCGCATTCAACTATTCTTTCGCTATCACGTCATTGCCATTGAGCCTTATGGTGACGGAGATGCTGGGGAAACGAAGCGAGAGCCATCAAATGGTCGAAAACCTCGCTACTCCCAAACCTACGGAAACAGCCACCTTCCACTGCTGCGCTGCTCGCAACTAATCATGGACGATGAGCAGGAATAACGAACACATCGCTCGTGACAAGGTACATCGCGCTGATGACACATTGCTGATGAGGGCGATGCGACTGTAGTTCACTTCATGAAACTGCTTGTGGCAGAGGAAATCATAACATAAGTGTCTGTATGTCTCAATCCAACCTCCGAAGCCTAAACCCTGAGCACTATGTGTTCCTGCCAATGCTGCCAGTGCAGCGCCCAAGGCAAAAAGCTGGCGAGGTTGCGGTCGCAGTGCAGCACCTCTCTGGGAGGCGGGCGGGTCCGGGCTCTGGGCCTTCAAGAGACTAAGGTTTTGCGGGTTTAGGGCAAGCCGAGGGACCTATACCGGTGTCAACCACTAGAGTAACAAAGCTGTTGAAAGGTACCCATGATTGGTGGTTGTGTAGCTACAACTCTGAGCCCGCTATCCTTGCCATTGACTTGCCACTACTAGTGGTAGTGACAGTGGCAGTGGTCGCGGTAGCATTACAGCAGGAGGAGCAGGAGCAGCAGCAGCAGCAGTAGCCGTCGTAGTACTCGACTACTAGTCGTAGTAGTTGTCGTCGAAGAAGCAGTAGCAGTAGCAGCAGGAGCAGGAGCAGGAGTAGTAGTAGTAGTAGTAGTAGTAGTAGTAGTAGTAGTAGTAGTAGTAGTAGTAGTAGTAGTAGTCGTAGTAGTCGTAGTAGTCGTAGTAGTAGTAGTCGTAGTCGTAGTCGTAGTCGTCGTAGTAGCAGTAGTAGTAGTAGTAGTAGTCGTAGTGGGAGTGGCAGCAGTAGTGGTTGTGGTCGTGGTAGTGGTGGTCCGAGCTCTGCACTGGCCGTTCGCTTCGGTCGCTCCTGTTCCAGTGTCGAAGAGGAACCCGAAACCCGTGAGCGTGTGAGTGCAAAAACTGCCATGCACAAGCTTCAGGAAAGGATGCTCTGCTGTCAAACTCTTCCTTTGCGCTACTGTGATGCCTGCTCCCCTAATGATGTCGGAGCACGAGATACATGATCCGGGTTTACGTAGGTCGTGGTCCTGGAGTGAACAGCTTCCAAAGTTCAGTTCATATTCAACTTCAGAGCTGGACACGTTAGCCACCAGTCCATGTAACACTCAGTGGCGGTTTTTGATATTGAGGAAAGATGAAGTCCACTCAAAACCTCAGAAACCACTGTTGGAAACAACCCTGGGCCACGATGAAGAACAACAAAAGATCAACAGCAAACACGCATGACTTTCTGCGATAAGGGGGTATCCTGCAATTCGCGACCGTCTCTTGTGCGGTAAGTGCGAAGACTAGCAGCTGGCAGCACAACACATACTTTGATCGTTGCAGCACTTCAGTACGGCTTTCGAAGCGGTGAGGAGAGTACTACTTGTCGTAGGAACTACTACGGCTGCTGCTCCAACTACAACATGCTACTACTGCTGCAACTCCTACTATACACCTCTTGCTCTCATTGCTCTTGCACTTAGTCTTACTCCTCTGCTTACTCAATTTCTGACTCTTGCGCTTACACTGGTGCTTACTCCTACGGTCCTCAGAGTCGTACTCTACCTCTTTCGACATTGAAGACTGTTCCTGTTCTACGTGCCACAAAGCTCCGCTTTCTGACCGTGCCTGCTGCACTGGCGCCATTTGGAGCTGTGGACGAACTGTCTCGGCCTGCCGGAAACTCCATTTTTTCTGACTGCAGAGGCTCCTCTGCCGCACAGCAGATGCCATACATACAGACTTACTGACCCATCCCGGCCCTGCATGCTCAAACGAAACAGAGCGCTTGCGTTCCATGTGATCACAACGAGCATGGACTTGGAAATAACGAGGTGGTACCTGGTATCAAACTTATGAAGTCAAGCATGGAGAAGTGGCTGATCCGTGCTCGGGACGCTCGGTCGGACGCAAGCAATACGCCAAAACAGTAAGTCCACCAAGTAAACACCAGCATGACACAAAAAGTCCTCAGTCGATTCAAGAAGATGAGGGTCAGAAACGGCCCTGAACCCATGGGCCATACTAGTAGAGCCCTGTTCATCCTCAGGCTTCAAACTGCAAGAAATCCCTGAGGCTTCGTACGTCCGACCTCGGCTTGGTCAACGGTTGACACATAGGCGGAACCTTGCCGCATGAGGCTTCAAGTGTAGAGGTTTAAGGGTTTGGGGTTTAGGGTTAAGGTTCAAGGATTGGGGTTATTCAGGTAAGCTGCGATGCAGGTGTTGGAAGCTGTCTTCATTGCATTCGCGGCTGTACAACCAACAAGCATGCTGCCGGGCTTTCAGACATGCGGATTTGTCGTGAAGTGTTTCAAGCCTGACCGAGGGCTTGGATTTGGGATTTCCGTTCCTTGTCGAAGGCTCTCCTCCTAACCTCAGCCACGACAGGCCTTAGCATAGGAAGTCGGAGAATCCGGAGTATGTGATAGAACCATAAAGCTGAATTCTGCGTCCAATGACCAAGTCCTGCCAAATCGTTAACCTAAGCCTCCACCCCTCAGCTTTAGATGCTCCTGTACGCCACTATCACAACCCACTCACAATACCCGGTACAACTAAAACACTGAATTATGATTCTTCTGGTGGTTTCAACAAACTCGAGCTGAACCCTAAGCTCCGAGCCTTTAACGTTGACACCCAGAATTGGTGCGATGCAGCGTCAGGCATCCCTGAACGTTGAACCCTGAAACTTCCATGCTACAACCTAAACGATGAACCAGGAAAAGCTCCCCCAGCCTCAGCCCCGCCCCCGCTGAGGTTTCGGGTTCAGAAGAAAGCCCGTGAATCACAAGGCAAGCCAAGCGACTCTCATCGCCACTGCTTGGAGGTGGGCCACCGGGGTCATCGCAAACCCCACTTGGCTCCTCCACATGGGCCAGAAATCGTGTGACTCTCAAGTCCTGAGGCAAGTGTCAGGCAAGGACTCTTCTGGGCCGGTACAGTAGAAACAATCTCCTCCCTGCTCTATCATTCAAGTTTGCTTTCTCTTTGTACCCTGCAGACATTGGACGCTGAAAGCTCAAGCGTCGATCCTGCTTTAAGCCCCTAAACGCGAAAATGAGTTCTACCAGGGATATAAGCCCCTGAAGTTTTAGAAAACCTTGCACTCTGAAACCTTCCTCCGCAATGCCCAGCTGCCATCGAACCTGGCGGGGAGCAGTTCGGAAAACGTCGAGAGACCGATTTCTGCACCAGCAGTGTTTAGAGGCTTTGGGTTTGGGCCTTGGGGTGCTGAAGACTGTGGACCCGACAGGACCTTGAACCCCCAAATCCGTTCAATCCTAAACAACGCTTTCGCTGGACCGGAAGCACCCAGTCTATTTCCATCATCCTCAGGACGGTCTCCGACCGAACTATCCAGCTTCAGACTGGATCAGGGATTTTTACTGGCGTGCCTTGACAGGCTTTGGGGTGCGTGTTCCGGAACATGGGGTCCAAGGATTGAGGGTTGGGTGTGGCATGATTGTAAAGACGATGGAAGCTTGAGGCCCGAGTGTGATGAGGAGAACTGAGCGGAAGCTTTCCAGCTCTGATGGAATTTGACCCTCTCGGTCAAGTTAGCCAGATGAAGCTGCAGTCTTTGCCTGAGCCGCGGTGATTCACGGGAATGTCGAGAGATATGCCACAGGATCTACAGCCCAGGCTCGGCCTGATCCTGAAGCCGAATTTCAGCCCCAGGTTCTTATCCTCCGTTGCAACAGAACAGAACTCGCAAACCGAACAACCGCCACCGCAAGCAGCAAAACCCTCAGCACCAGCGCAAGCACCCGCACCACCCACCGCCACCTCCAGCGCCAGCTCCGCAGCCACCAGCGCCAGCACCAGCACCGGCAGGCAGCAGGCAGCGGGCAGCCAGCATCAGCAACAACCCCAACGATGCCAACGCCAATAGCAACATTAACAACATTAGTTATCAGCAACAACAACAAAAACCAACAGTACAACAGAAACAGCCACAGCCAGAGTCACAGCAACAACATCAAGAACGACGGGGACTGGGGCCGCCTGTTGCAGTTGCTGCAGCAGCTTGCCGCGCTCCACCTCCGATTGCCGGAGCTGGCGTACTAGGGCCTCGCAGCATCCAAAACATTCCCGCTGCAAATTGCGGTTCGACTGCATGTTCTGACGACGACCACCAGTGTCACCATCGACCGTGTCCTCACCCCTCTCGACTGGTACAGTACTGGAGGATCAGGGTGCTTGGCAATGCGAACCCTTACAGCCAGCAAGCCGGGGTACAACCTTATCACAACTCTCTGATCGACACGTACCATCGCACCCGCACCAGCCCCGTTGTGGAGCACCTTGTTGGCCTCCCGAAGCCGCCGCACCTCGGATCTGCTGAGCTTCAAAAGGCTTCGCTTCTGGGCGTAGACGCGCGTGCGCGCGATGCTTCATGTAGGGTGAATATTACAAAGCCATACAAAGCCCGCATTGGAGGGTAACTTCGAAGTAACGGTAGAAAGCAGCCTCACTCATGGACCCATGGAAGCCAATAGATTCCCATGCTCGGCGAGGGTTCGGGGTTTATCTTCGATGTCGACGCTCACACTCGCTCAAGGCAGGCTAGGCTCCACATGTCTAGACACAACAACCATCCGGAGCCAACATAACAGCAAGAAACATCAATAAACAAACATGCTCCAGCTCGGGTTCAGTCTACCTAGGTACTCGCAACACTTCAGGCCCTTACGTTTCTGCGACGACTCTCAATCCATTACATTGCACAACCGCGCGCCACGTATACACCGGCCCACTTTAGCGAATCATCAAAGCTCCAGGGAAGCCTGATGCAGAACGATCTTTGCTTCTGTGCCATGCAGCAACAAATCTTCGCAGCAACGCCAAAGTCCCTCAAAGCCACAATCTGTCATGCACCCTGGCATGAAGCCTGCAACCGAACAAGCCGCCTCGTCGCCCATGTTGGCGTTCATGGCTTGCTTTTCGAGAAGGTCGGTCTGCCAGTGTGGGTTGCAAGTCGACGTTCGCTAGGAACTTAAATCCGGACACGACAACACGGTGCACCACGACGATCAAAATGCTGATCCGAATTCGCTCCAGGGCTGCGCGGAGCCACGGCAACACCCCAATGTAGCAGCAAAATGTGTCAGTCATGGAGCAGTATGCATTCGGATTTGAGGTTCAGGTTTCGGCGCTCACACTCCCGGCGAGGCATCGTTCGAGGTTGAGGGTTTAGGGTAATGAACCAACGAGCATGTGAGGGCCTCAATCCCCGAACTGAGGGCCAAAGTCGCCACCAGCAATTTTATCATATATTGCTGGTTCTTGGCGTGTGGTCCCGGACCGTCATGAAAAGGATCCAAGCTGTTTCTGGAACCCAATGTGGGCCTCAGCCCTGGAAGGAATAGCTTTGGGAAGCGGCCCTTGGGTGCACTCTTGGACCGCCTGCAAGACTTGCGCAGCTTCTTCGAAGCTTCTCCCAGCCATTTGATCCCTCCTGTGTAGAACTGCGGAGATGGGCAAGTGCTCTAGACGGGCTTTACACGGTTTCTGGAGTCTTGATGCGTTTCTGTGGCCTTTAGCTTTAGGCTGCGGCAGTTCACTTTCCAAATTTGTATAGGCCAAAGTTAAAAGTCTTTGCTGATCTCCGGAGTCCCCGCCGAGCCTGTTTTGCAAAATTGGGTGGCCTTCCCGGTCTGGGCTTATCCAAGAAGCCGACGGCGCCGACGGGGCTACGGCAAGCCCTACGATACGGGTTCATCGCGAGAAGCTGTACCAATCGTCGTCGTAGTAGTAGTAGTAGTAGTAGTAGTAGTAGTAGTAGTCGTAGAAGACTGTTTAGCCATAGCATCTAGCAGGAATGCTGAGGCTCCGTGCCTGAGTTCTGGCCGGTGAGCCAAGTATGCCTCGATGGCCTTGGTTGGCTTGTCGTTTACTATGTTGCTCAACACTTTGTACTTGCAGGAGCCCTGTAGGGTGGGGTGACAGGAGAACAAGCCATTCAGGGATCAGTAGGTCCTTTAGGCTGAGCTTGCCTTGAGGGTCCAAATTTTTCAAGTGTCGATGACCTTACCAGGGCAGAACTAGTTCATAGCATGAGGCTGGATCTACCAGCGTACCGGTCTTCAGAACGTCATAAACCCTTTTTTCAGTCATGCGCAGCAATCATCGCCATGGGCACTTGTAAACTTGCAAACTGCAAGACCCAAGCCCCATTCAAGGATGCAGGGTTAGGCCACTGGTCCCGTTATGGAGCCGCCCTAAACTCTGATACAGCTCCACGCGCAACTCGAAATTTCGAAAGCGTCGAGCCAGGTCAAAAATGAGGTCTGCAGCATGTTGTCTGTCTACTCTCAGAGGCAGCATGTGCTGGGGCCAGAAGAGCTATTTCTAGTGGTAAACAATCTTGGATTGAGGTCTGGACTCTTTGCAAAGCCAACAGTGGCATGAGAGTAGTAGAGGGCAGCGCCAGACCTGTGAGGAGTGGCTTTATTTGTGTACATCTTGTGATTTTAACTGAAGCTGGAGACTGCTGTTGCAGCCATCCCTCCCACTTCTGCGACACCGACCTCTCCACACCATGAAGACTCTGGCTGCAAGGCATGTCAGAAAAGGTGTGTGTGGCTGTCTGCCACAACGGTCAGAATTCCCAAATGCAAGGAGGCACCTCGTCTTCGCTCTACAGTAGTAAGGCCAGTGGTCAGAATCCTGGTCTTCATCATCGCAAGACGGGACCGTGGTCATCAGTTTTGACATCATCATCATCATCATAATACGCTTCGGTCTTGACCCTGCGTTTATGCACTCTTTTCACCGGGAAAACCTGGAGAGCGAAATCAATTTGACAAACCTGGGTTCGTGCAGTGGAAGTCTCGCGCCTGTGGTCGGCGACGTAATCTGCTGGTGGCTTTGGCGACGCTCGCGAAACCACCTCGCAAAGGGACAGCATGAAGTTTCACTTGAAGAGGAAGAGAATGCTTGGCCCACCGAAAGGGCCTCTCAATGTAGTCCCGCTCGTAAGCACACCCGTCCACAGTGGCGACTGGGTCGGACCTGAGAAAGCAAGGTTGGACATGCATGCTTCGGAGATAGCATGGCCTCGGGCTTGTGCTTCGATCTGGCGAGCTGATGGCACGTTTCTGACTTTTAGGCGGTGCTGGGCACAAGATTGTTTGGGCTGGAGCCTCACCCGTCACCAATTCTCCCTGAGCCCTTCCAGCCCTCAATATGCCCTGTCGCTCCCGTTCGCAATGCTCAGCTTAGCACATGATCGTCGCAGAAATCGGGCAGAAGAAGCCTCAATCTGCAGCAGCACTCAACATCTTTCGACCTTGACGTTGTGGACCAGTGCACCAGTACCAGTAGTACCAGTGCTGTTAGTAGTCCGTACGCTCTGTGGAAGTCCTCTCGGACCCCAGCTCTCCGGAACAGGCATCAAACGAATGCCCTGGTCCTGGTGCCCGCAACGCACAGGTTTCTCGAGCTACCCCGAATCTCCTGAGAACCCGAGGGTACGATTAGGTCCAAGTGCTAGCCTCATTTTTCATAAGGGTCTCCTCCGCTTGTGAATTTGTCTCTTCACCAGAATGGTGGACCGCTGTCCCCCCCCCCGCCCCCCCACCCTCCTGCGCATCAAAACGAAACGCACACAACTTGAATGGCTTTGCCAACGGCCCGCTGTAGATCCTTACACCACAAAGCCTGATCTAAACTACTAGTATGTGAAAAACAAACCGTGAACCTGCAACGATATCTCGTCCAACCAGTTTCAGTTAACTACGCCTTTCAATCCAAACAGCTGCTGTTCTCACCACAACAACACCTACCTCTACTACTACAGCGACGACGACGACGGCTGCTGCTACTACTACTACTACTACTACTACTACTACTACTACCAAAGACCGGAACTCCCGGCATCTTCTTCCAAACTGCCGCAGTCTCGCCTCTGAGAGGACTGACAGTTTGGGGTTTCGGATGTAGGAGTTGAAGGCTTAAGGCTTGGGCTTGAGTGAGGGTTTGAGAGTGCACCTAGAAGCAGCCATGTGTTTCAAGAAGTTTCGTGCGGAGCTACAGACTCTTGATCGCGGCCTCTGTGAACTCTGTTAGTCTATCAAAACCCTAAACCCGAAACCGCACCTGAAACTTGCAAAGTCCTCGTCCAGGAAATCCGCCTCGATACTGAAGTAGCCTCAGAAAGAAGTCACCGCTCTCATTCTGCCGCACTTTGGGGGTTCCTGGTTCTTTTTGGTTCTGAGGCTTTATGCAGGTTGGTTGGGGGAGGGGATCTGAAGCTGCTTGGAGACCAAGGCAGTGGCTGAACCCCGTTTCTCAGGTCACCCCGTTACAAGCCGTCTTCAAACTGTCTCCAGACCCTAACCAGCAAAGCTCTTTAGTCTTCCAGGGACGAGAGAAGGACAGCTCCATGGCAGCATCCTCAAGGAAACCACGTGCAACTCCTCTCTAAATGCAATCCAGCTCACGCGCGGCACCCTCGCCCCATCTCTCGCCGTACTCAGCCTGCCCGATGCTGCACAACAACTTAGTGGCCTTGGCCCTCGCTGTTATGGCATTGCGGTATGTGCTTTCAAGGGTAGCTGTGCGGCACTCGGTCTCAAGTTGCCATCGTATTGAGCGGGAGACCGCCTACAACTGAGCAGAACGCTCTGGAGGACATGTTCGGGAGACAACGTGCTCTGGATGATGGCCTGCTTGTTAGTGTATGGCTGATGTCCGTCACGGATGACGACGACAGGAAAGTAGAGTGATCACTTTTGTGGCCATGGAAGGCATTCCCCTGCCATAAGTACAAATCGACTGCTCCGAATCCATCTTCACAACGAGAGGAACGTTCAAGCTGCCTGACGGCCCTGCCGTGCTGCAGCATGGTAATTCCTGGGGAGAATTCTTGCTGAGGAGGGTCTGGAACTCAAACTCTAGCCTCACTGGTAGTATGAAAGTTGCAGATCAAGACTGAAACCATGGGGAAGCTTGAAGACAATACTCTTACGGTGTGCAAGCTCTGATCTTACAGATATGTGACGACGAGCCGAGGTTGGTAAGTGAGAACAGCTGGATCATCCTCGGCCTCGGAAGTTAGAGTCGACAGCCTTTCGTGGAGAGGTGGAGGTTTTGCCGCTCTTTTGCAATGCCGGGCACTCGGCTCATGCATTTCTGGAAGGATGGCCCCTTTCACCAAACACCGAAGGCACCAAACGTAAGACACGAGCCAAAGCAACACACCTCCTCCTTATGCCCCGTCAGCTGAGCCCGATCCCAAGACAGGGGCCTAAGCTTGATTAGAGAAAGGGTTTGAGAGGCTTTATGATTATGAACCTGTGTGTGTGTGGCCTTTGGCCCAATGCAGCGTCTGCCACCGGGAGGCAAAGGCTCGGCGGCCGGTGGCACGGCAGAGTCCATGGACCCGCCTCTGCTTTAGGGGTCATGGTTAGTTCTACAGGGTTTTACAGGATTCAAGGCTTCGTCTTTTTCGTGGTCTGCGTTTGGAGCTTCTTTCTACTGTGGCACCTTCGCAACCCAGGCAGTCTTGCACAGTTTGGGTGACGTGGGGCTTCGGGGTGTAGGGCGGCATCATCCAGCTTGTACTTCATGCTTAGCTTTTGATAGCGCTACAAGTACGCACATCAGTCTTCTAGACTACATCATGCTGGTATACGAGTCTCCTTCGGAATCTGAGCAACTTTCTGTCCAAGGCCTGGGGTTGAGGTCCAAGGCTTAAGCTTTGATGTGCCACAAGGACTGTTGTTTTGGTTCGAAAGAATTGGGCTCGGGGCTGTCATCGAAAACACAGTGCATCAAGGGCATAAAGTCCCTGGCATGTAGATGATTCCAGGCTAAAGAGCCCTTGCTTGAACCTCCGAAGCCCTCAATAAGCTAAAACCAGCCAGTAGGACACAGTTTTGTTATGTTCGGTTTTGACCCGGAATGCTTCAGCCCCGTAGGGGGCTTTCAAGTCTAAGCGAATGAAGTCCATCTTATAGGCTTGGAATTAGGCAAGGTGGTGATGCTCCTGCTGCTGTTGTTCTGCTTCGTTCAGCTACAGCAAAAACACCATGGTTGACAGTAGTACGAAAAGTGTCTTCGCTACTGCATCACGTGAATCGCTGGACTAAGACTGTGCAGACTTGAACATGCGAAGCCAGGCATCCACAGCTTTCCCTGCCACGGCCATCATCAATGACCAGTGTTCTGTTTCTTGTAGTTGTATGGTGTTGGGGCGCCGACTGGCTCTCTGAATCGCAGCCATCTTCGGCGCCGATCCAGAAACGAGTCCTCGATTCTTCACAGGTATGGTTGTGGATCATCGCTCTACGAACCCGGTTTGGAAGCATCAATGCAGACAAGATTAGGCTAGAACACGAAGGATAGAAACAAATAAACAGCGGGCGGCCTTGCAGGTCACTTGCAGTTCGTTTTGCGAGGGCTTACTGGTTTCAGGCTTTTGACTTCTGGGTCTCGTACCGTCTGGCCCGGATGGATACCGGACGGGCAGCAGTATCATTGAAAGACTGATGGTAAAGACTCGCAGGAGCAGCCTGACCTCAAACTCCCTCATCCTCGCCGTGTCCACCCGAAACTCGAAAGCTCCTACTTCGACTAGCCGGCAAACCCCGGAAGTGACATGGGCCGTGCGGCCCCAAGGCCCAGGCAGCGAGACAGCTTCATCTCCGCATGGCATGCGGCCCTCTGTGCGGACTCCGGGTGAAGCGTTTGAGTTTTTAGAGTTTAAGATTCAGGGTTTAGGGTTGCGGCGTTGACACATTCAAGCGTTCTGGATGCGGATCTGTGGCTTCAGCTGGCTTGTGTTGCATGCGGAACTTCCGAGCTGGCATCGCGCTTTGGTTCTTCCTCTTGCTAAGCGGTAGTAGTACGATGGGACAAACCAAATTAAAGATAGCAATCTTAGAATAAGCGTTGTTCCATGTAGACTTGAATCTCGATTTGTTTTGTGCCGCCTGCGAAATGTGCGACAGACGATCTGCAATCCTTGCTGGGGTTGTTCTTACGCGCTAAGCAAGAGCCTTGCAAAGGCGAATTCTGCAACCACTGGCTGCGCCCGAGCCGAAGTGAGCGAGGTTCATCATGCTTGGACAAGACGAGCGGAGGAAGTAACGCTTGTCACATGTCATCAAAATAGCAATCTGGCTTCCGTCTCTCCAGGTTGCTCTCCTAAACCTCTCCGCAAGATGGCGGCTCGGACACCACGTGCAAGCTTTTAAGCCAGAGTTTGCCGTCTGGATGTCCAGCAGCTCACATCTCCAAACTGAGGCACAATCGCCTGCACGTGTCAGGATGCGAGAGGCGAGCGGCCAGTTTTCACGAAGTTTGCACAACTATCCGCTTCTGCCGGGACTGCATTGTAATTCTTTGTGCTCTGTAACTTCCATATTGCCACAATCGGCTGCGCTCTTCAGGCAGTTTGATCAATACGGGAAACACGATCGAATATGCATTGTAGACGGCCGTATCTTGCTGTTAAATAAGAATACACATATTATGTGTCATCAACAGATGTGGCAAACACCAGTGTGCATGCATTGAGCTGTTTTCGGACCAAAGTGATTTCGTGCACTTCAACTACAAGCTATGTTGCGAAACGTTCCTGTGTACTGCCGAATATAAACGTATCGCCACGACAAACAAAACCTTTTGCTGCTCTTGGTGTGCATATGTGTATCTGTATGTTTGTCACACGCAACGTGAAGCCCCAAGCCCCAGTACATAACTATTGTTGCTGAAGCCCTTATGATTGAGACAATGGCACTTGTCGCTATCGTCATCGCGGTGGTGCTAGTGGTGGCAACCTGGCAACCCCCCAGTCCGAAATATCAGCAGCACCATGAACTTCACAACGAACACTACCATCAAGCAAACTGCGAGCGCTGCATGCCCGAAACACAAATGCGGAACCCTGAACCCTTGGGTCCTCATAAGCAGGTCGAGAGCGAGGGCTAGCTCCTCCACCTGCCAGGATCGTCGAGCTGTGAAGCACAGAAGGCTCTCGGTTCAGAACCAGCAGTGTTTCGTCTGCTGATTATTGCGATGCGAATGAAGCGACACGGTAACGGAGCACAGTGGGGCCTAAAGCGGCTACAATACACGTGGACTTTGAAGTGATTGCTACTTCTGGCTGTTTGGAGCTTGCTGGAGCCTGAAGGTCCTAAAACTCAACTTCCTTGGGGAACGGCTGAACTGCAAGCGGGCCGACAGAAAGGAAGAGTTTGGGTACCAGGGTAGAGTCTTCTGCAGTACTCGGAAGTCTCCCATGCCGCCTTAAACACTCCGAGACCAGACGACTCATGCACTTTGTGCACTGATGATTACGCACTGCGCATGACCGACCAGTGGTACACAAACATTTTCGAAGGCTCAGCTTTCCAGGAAGCATTAAATTGGATGCAGGTTGCCCTGCTGCTTGTTTTCGGGATAGAATAGTGTTCAGGTCCCGGCATAACACGCTCTCGGCTTACGATCTTTAAGGCTTAAGGCTCCAAACCGCTCCTACTCAGCACCCTAAACCCTAAACCGCCTTCCGCTTCTCGATGTTGGGGTCCTGCTTTTGACATCAGCGTTTCGGGTCTGTTCTTGATCCACTTGCTGTTCCAGCGATAGTTGCTGTTGTTCTTAGCTATGCTTGCGATTGTTTGTGTACGTATTGCGAAACTGGTGTTTGTGATGATGTATTTCCATGTTCATTGCTGGGATGGCCAATGTCTACCACGATTGCCGGGGTATTGCTGCAAGTAGCTTTCCTTTTGATACTCTGTATCTTACAAGAAACGAGAATCGACAACTCCAATGATGCAATGATGCAAACCATCACCAACGCAAATGGCAATGCAGCAGCAGCAGCAGCAACAGCAGCAGCAGCAGCAGCCGACTTCTCCGATCCCAGGCATACATCGCTAGACTGCGAGACTGTCCACGTGACTGGCTTGTCGTTGGGTTCTTCTGCGTTCCATACCCCGTGATGTTCTTGGATGAGCGCAGCTGCCTTGGAGGCAGGTTCGCCAGCTAGTGTTGCAACACGTTCAAAATTGTTAGTGTTGCCCTTCATCTTTCCCTCCATGCCAGCCAACGACCGCAGGACATCAAAATGCAACACCTTCAATAACGGCACCGATGCCGAAGGGGTGTGGGCTGCGACCTCGACCACAAAACGGCGACATCCAAAGGCAGGTTCTCATTCAAGAAGCTGAGTGCAACGCAAGCCACCGAACCGGACAATGGTCGGGTGGTTGCTTTCATCTATCCTAGATACATCCACAGACTCAAAACGCGGCCTTGGATTCCTGGGACAGTCCGAATGCCTTCCACTCTCTCGACCTGTATGCTTCAGAGCCTTCATCCCAAAACGCTACACTTGGATTGCCACCATCGAATGCAAGCAACACGCCGACTACCGACGTGCATCGTCTGCATCATGGACATCAAGTTCGCCTCACGTGTGAGGTGGCTTCAGCGGCGCGTTGTGTGGCTGATATGACCATACATCAGAACCACTATCCACAAACACAGATGCCATTGTCACGTATAGGCTAAATCTGGTGAACACACTGACATGCTCTCGGTCCTCAACGACTCTGAGTCGGAAAGCCCGGGCCAACATCTCCTTGGCTTCCTCCGGGCACGGGTTTTATGGCGCTGCATGATGCGATTTCTAACCAGTACCAGGACCAACAAATATCTAAGAATCAAAGCTGCCAGTGACAGCACGCATGTGGGATGCCAGCTCCCACAGCTTTCCATCTTGTTATATACTGCAAATCAATCCACATGTTTACTCATGAAAATGAAGCATGCAACCGCTTGTTGAGTAATTTGGCTGGAGCCCATGAGAACGGCCCGGATTCGGTGTTTGGGGCTTGGCAAGGGCTATAGGGACATGGGCTACAGAGTTGAAAGCGAAGTGTGTTGCAGTCAGGGCTTCCGAAGGATTAATGTTACAGGGTATGGGAACAAAAGAAGTTTAGCCAAAAGAGACGATGAGGGGAACACTCAACGCCTTAGCGAGTTTGTAGCTCGCACTGAGTGTTCTGGATTTGAGGTACGTGCTGCAGCTGATGTGGCTCAGCAGGATGAGCGTGGTCACGTGCACAAGTAAAAACTTTCCCTCAGAACCCACCGCCGGCCCACTGCCAACCCCAGAATGCTTGCCCCAGCGAACGCAGCACACATGCATGACAAAGTGTGCGATATATTTTACATATATATATATATACACATGTATGTACTTCAAATTCTTGATCTTGCTATCCTAATCATCATACTCTCATTTCATGTTGCACCGTGCTGCACCACCGCCCTCCGCATCCCGAGTGCAGCGGCAGGTCCTCCTTTTGCTTCTGCTTCAGCTCCTCCCTGGACAGCTGGAGCACCTCTGCCAGCAGCTTGCATCTTATTGCATATGGCAGCTCTTTGTGGGCCTCCTCATGAAGACTTTCTTGAGCATGTCTCCTAAAGGCCAGCTAGTTTTATAGGGCGACGCTGACTGAAGAAGTCGGCTCCCGAAAGGAGGGTCTGGGCTGAATCATGAGTGGGGCCCTATGAAGTACCACAGCGCGAGTGCGACTGCTGGAACTTCCACTTCAAGCCGGGTTAGGTCCCTTCGTCTTGCCCGCAGCTGTCTTGCCAGCATTGGGCTCATCTTCTTTTCTTCTTCTCCCCTGATCCCCACAGCCCAAGAGGAGCGCGGGAGCCTCGTAGCACCGGTCCAGCGACATGCAGCGAGGATCAATGCTCGCCCCTTCCGCCTCACAGCTCGGAACTTTTGGGAGCCTCGGGGTTAATACAGCAAGGAGGAGGGACGTCCAGAAACTGCTGCATCTGAGGGCTCCAGTCTTCCAGCGCAACCCTTCCTGGGAGCACCGCCATCGCTGGCATGGCGCCGCCGAGCTCCGCGATGGCAGAGGAGGTGATTATCCTCCAAGTCTTCAGGGCTGAGTTTTTTTGAGCTCCTTTTTCCACCTGCCTGACCATGACCATCCAAGCGACTACAAGGCACATAGGGCTTAGGCTCTAGGGCTCTAGGGTTTACTATAATTACAATGAGAACCCCCCTTAAAATAGTATAGGTACATATCTAGGGTTTAGGTTCATGGCTGGATTCCAGGGTCCCAGGCCGAGTCGGAAGCTGGCAAGGTTTCGCTTCAGGTGCAAAGGAGCCCCTGCCGAGACGAACTACCTACCAGTATACTCAGTATACTATTTTTTTGGGGGTTCCTTCCCTACAGTATACTATTTTTTGTTTTTTAAAAACCTATGCACAGTATACTAGTTTTTTGGGTGGGATCCCTTATTCAAACTATCGTAGAATATGCCCCAAAACCCTATTCTACTTATAGTTTTCTTTGGTTGATTTTTGTTCAAGGGCTTGGCCTTGGGAACTCGCCAAAGGGTTACATGCGCAAGGCTCGGGCTTTGTATGGCCTGTGCACTTTGGTGAGCATGTCCAAAAACTAGATCGAATAATTGTGTTGGGGGAGTTCGCTGCAACCTCTGTTTAACCAACTTAACCGTAGCATGGCCGAGTCGTGCTGGAAACCATCATCGCAATTCAAGGGAACCTGAAAACCCTGGGTCAGATCCGTAGCCCAGAAGCCTTCCAGAGTTAGGGCGAATCCAGTGCCTGGTTGCCACGCCCTGGCGAGTGCCGATCTCCTTTCCAAGGCTCTCCATGGCCTGAAAGACTGAGGCATTTGTCTCTGAGAGCTTCCACGAAGGAGCTGCTTTTGGGTCAGATTTCGGGCTCGGGTTAGCCCTCGGTGCCTAAGAGCGTACCAGCGATCAAAATCCAAACACAACTGCTACTGCTAAACGTGCTTTGCCAGCGAACTTTTACACAATATGCAAGGAGCATAAATACTCTTCCAGCTTTTCATGTGGAGCGGGCGAACACAAAATGTTCAGAGTCACAATGAGTTTTCGGGATTATCGGGTGTGAAGACCTACTCAGAAAGGCCAAAATGCACTCATCATACCCGAGGCCCTAAACCGCACTAGCAAGCATGACGTGAAGATCCTACCTGGACCGCAGAACGCCGGGCTTTAGAATTGCTTAACTCACCTGCACAGACAAAGCCTTGAAGCGCTGGCCTGTACCCTAAAGCTGGTTCCACAAAAGCTAAAGCCGTAAGACCCAGCCCCCTCATCCGCCCACCCCCTGGGTGAACTCTTGGATGGGACCTGCCTCTATCTCCCCAGTGATGTCGGCCTGAAAGCAGGCACCATGATCCAGTCACGAGCGAGGTTTTGCCATCTGGGCATTTGGGGCCAAGTTGAGGGTTTTGGAACGGGTCACAGTGCTGACAGCATTGCGACCCCATGCAATTTATTCAGAAACACAAACACCACAAGTCGCTGTGAACAGAGTAAGTGCTCGCTGTAGTTGTGAGACCAACAAAACGGGCCCAAACCCATATCATAAAAGCACCCAGACCTTCTCACTACTGCAAACTTCAATCTCGACCTATGCGCCGCAATCCTTCGCAAAGCCGCAATGAAACCGCGTCAAGTTGCTATCAACCGCATAAGTAGTACACAAACTCTCGTCCATGAACCTCTGCACCCGCATGTATGAACTCGCATCGCAACTCACACTTTAGACAGTTGTTGTTCATCCTTAGCCCTCCAAATGCATGACACCCATGAAACAGCAAGCCACGTATACCCGAGCCCGAAAACTCCTAGTCACTTCGCCAGGGCGCAAAGTGCCCACGAGCTGCATCCCAGAGGATCACTTGCCCGAAGGGTGGCGAGGCCTGGCGTCAGGGTCTAAAGGGCTGCGGGGACCGGGTGTGTGGCTTAGGGATCTGGAGAGAGCTTGATGGTAGCCTTTGAGCTTCGGAGCATGCGGCATTTGGGGTGACTTGCGTTGGTGCTGTGCCCCAGTTCGAAACCAAAAGCTAAATTCCCGACGTGTCAGTTGGAAAGGCACAGTCGTCGAGGAACCTTTGGAGCTCACCGGAAGTCCAACATGCATCAACGTGGAGCCAGGCTCTCAATCCTCGAGTCTCACTCAGGCCTACGCCTTCAATCCCCGTCAGGAATACGCCAACATGAAGAAAAAACATGTCTTAAACCCCAAAGCCTCAAATTGTCGCCAAACACTACAGCAGCATGAGCCTGCGGCTCTTTGCGGAGGCCAAGCTGACATTCCCAGAGAGGCGAAACCTCCAACATCATCAAAGGTTTGTTTCGTTGGACACAGTTTCGGAGTTCCATGCAGAGTGTCTGCAGGTTATTATCACGAGGTTAGAGCTTATTGGCACACAGAGCACTGGGGCTGGGGGGAAAGGAAAGGCATCCAAACACAGGTATCTTGCATGGGAGAGGTTAAAAAAAGTACGAGGCATTACCAACGAGTGCCTTCGGCCTCCTACACCACCAGTTCAGATCATGGCCGAAATCCCATCTGCCAGGACTCCTTCGGCAAAACCCGAGCTAGAGAAAACTTGCTCTGCCGAGAGAAATGCGAAGGATAATCATAAGAGGGTTCGAGGCTTCCGTTCCGTAGCCACCTTTTCCGCTAAACCTCAAATCCTGAAACCAGCACTTCTGACTAGCTTAGCTCCATCTTTGAAACAAAAGGAAAGACTCCTCAGACGACTTGCCCTCAACAGCAGGTAGAAACTTCAGCCACCATGTCTCTTAGCATAACCCCTTGAGCCTGAAACGCTCAACATCTCTAACGAGTCCGAAGCGCCCACTATGAAGTTCAAACCTCTACCACACCTACTAGAAGCATCTAGAATCTAGAAGCCTCAGCAGAAACATTCTAAATCCCTAAACCCTACGGCCCGACATGAGGTCTTCTCGAAATCAATCTCCCATAAAACGAAAACACAATCAGGGCCTGAACCGATCCTGGTAGACTGCGGCCGAGTAGTCGGAACCAATTGGGCAGCTGCAGGAACACCTAAGAGTCAAGAGTTTGAAGAAAGGCCATCGGGCCCGGGTTGGGGTGGTTTCGGATGTGGAGATCTCTCACGGACTTGTCACGAGCTCAAGTTTCTGGAGGCTTGAAGAAGTTGTTAAGGTTGGTGTCAGTGCGGGTGACCTGCGAGTGCTGCAGAGTCCACAGACTCCGCTGTAAACAATAACAACAACAACCACAACCGCTACTGCTGCTACTGCAACTGCAGGTACGTACAACCACAACCAAAAACTGCAGCAACTGCTGCTACTGCTGCTGCCACTACTTTGATCATGATATTTCTGATTTTTATCAACCAACTTGCTGTAAGTTTTGCTATCTTTCCTGTGAGTGCTATCTGGGAGAACTACTTCCAGTGCTACCAATATTCCTGCTACACACAGTACTGCTACTGCCAACAGTCACAATGGCCGACATCATGCTGCTAGGAGTGATCTGATGACCCATGCACCATTCAGACTCTCAGCAACCATTGCAACTCAGGACTCTGGGCACTGCGGACAGGCAAAAAGGCACAAGCAACGAATGCAGTGTTGACAGTTTTCATGGAGCCTGAAACCTGTATCTTAAATCCTGATTACGCAATTCTTTCCGAGGCGCCCCTGCAATTCGCCGGAACACGGCGCTGGGCCCGGGGGGTCCTCCGACGCCTGTGGCAGGGGGACCATTTCTCAAGTCCAAGCGAGATTTTTGGGGTTGAGGGCTTCAGGGTTTAGAGCTCGTGGCTTTAGGCTTGGGGTTAGGCTTATGGTTCCTCATAGCTTTTGGGAGCGTGAGCCTGGAGTGTCGTCTCATGTTAGTGTGGTCACCAGCCGGAGCCTTGGCTGGAGTTGTGCGGCTGGATTCAAGAGCTACACATCTGAAAAGATTCTGCGTTTCTGCTTTTGCAACCGCAACCCTGAGAAAACTGCGAAGAGCCTCAGCGCCTGCTGAGCTCTCAGAGGTCCCGACAAGGCAGACTCACCAACTTTGCTGTCCGCTGGTCTTCCAGGACTTGGATCGAAGCCCTGAACCCCAAGAAAAGCTTAAACGTAACCCGCCGAATTGCACCACACAGCAGCCCTAGACCAGCCTCCACCTTTCGGATCTTCCTCGCCTTGCCGACCTGGCAGACGCCAACTTTGGACCACGCTCTGTAACGATACGACCAGGAAACTGGACTGTCCGACACAAGAAGTGCTGGTGCTGGTCGAGGTAGTAGTAGAAGTAGCAGTAGCAGTAGCAGTAGCAGTAGCAGTAGCAGTAGCGGTAGCAGTAGCAGTAGCAGTAGCAGTAGCAGTAGTAGTAGTAGTAGTTGTTGTAGGAGTCGTAGTCGTAGTCGTAGCAGTAGTACTGGTGGTGGTCGTAGTAGTAGTAGTAGTAGTAGTAGTAGTAGTAGTAGTAGTAGTAGTAGTAGTAGTAGTAGTAGTAGTAGTAGTAGTGGTAGTAATAGTAGTAGTGGTAGTAGTAGTAGTAGTAGTAGTAGTAGTAGTAGTAGTAGTAGTAGTTGTAGTAGTAGTAGTAGTAGTTGTAGTAGTAGGAGCAGTAGTTGTAGGAGCACTAGGAGTAGTAGTAGTAGTAGTAGTAGTAGTAGTAGTAGTAGTAGTGGTAGTAGTAGTAGGAGTAGTAGTAGTGGTAGTAGTACTAGTAGTAGTAGTAGTAGTAGTAGTAGTAGTAGTAGTAGTAGTAGTAGTAGTAGTAGTAGTAGTAGTAGTAGTAGTTGTACTAGCAGTAGTAGTAGTCGTAGTAGTAGTCGTCGTAGTAGTAGTAGTAGTAGTAGCCGCCACGGCTCAGACGTTTTGGAAGTTTCGCGCTGGCTTTCGAACAGGCTCTGGATTCCAACCTTGCGTTGCTAGAGGTCTCAAACAGGCCTCTCTCCGAACGACTAAGGGTTGGTTCCTCACGTTGAGCCATGTGCCATGTGCCAACAGTTTGCGTCTGAGCCGCCAGGTCCCAATTCCTGGACCCAGTACCCTGTCTTAACACGGGCCCACTGGGCAGGCGGTAGGGTTTCCACTAACCGCGTGGTGGAGGGAGTCACTCGGCTTGCCTTGTGACGAAATAGCGGATGGCGCTGCTCCCAGTGCACTCACAAAATTATTCTCAGATCAGGAAGAATTCGTTCAAGCATGTTTGCAGAAAGGTGGTTGCAAGCCAGCAACCCGTTTCCTACCGAGGTCAGGTCATGACCCCTGCTCTTCTCAGGCGCATGGGCAACTGCCCACCGCGGCCAGGTTCCACTCAGTCTTTCGCACCACGGTCTAGAGCAGGACAGGCCACCAGGCCCCTCCGTGTACTGTCTTGGAATGCAGGCCACCTTGGCCAGCAGCAATGGTCGGAAGTCAAATCATGGCTTTCCACTGAGGCACGTCACACCTGTGATGTTCTTGTGCTGCAGGAGACCCACTGGCAGGCTACGGCTGAATTTAGTGTTGCAGGCTGGTACTGCATCTCGTCTGCCTCTGCTGCAGATCCGAAAGCCTCAAGACGCAAACAACGCGGGGGCAAGGCCCACATACAGCCACCTGCAGAGGCAATGCCTAATGACGACAAGACCCATCCGCCCCGCAAGGAACCCTCGACAACCCGCGCGGACGGAGTAATGGTCTTTCTGTCCCCACACATACAACCTAAAGGTGTGAGATGGCAGGAACATGTCATAGGCAGAACCCTGGAAGTCAGGTTTGACTGGCACGGGGCTCGCATACACCTGATTGCTGTATACCAACATGTTTGGTCACCGGCCAAGCAGGTGCAGAACAATCGTCAGGACAGGGCACAGGTCCTAAAAGCTCTTGGCAGATGTGTGCAAAGGGTGCCACACCGAGACACGCTTATCATCGCAGGTGATTTCAATAGCTCCTTGCAAAAACAGCCTAGGCTGGTCGGTCCAGAGCTCATAAGCCCACAGGAACCGCGACCTGATGAACCAGAGCTCACCAACTTCCTGTTGAGTCACCGCTTGGTGGCCCTCAACACGTGGCGACCTCAGCCATCATTTACGTACCAACAGGGGGACACACGCACACAAATTGATTTCGTGCTTACGCGAGAGGTGTCAGCCGGAGGCACTGCCAAGGCCTCCACGCCACTGGCGGCTTTTCCGCTGGGCAGTTGGAAGAAAAGCGGGCACCTGCCCATCAGTGCGACTGTCAAGCCAGTACGCCACTGGAATCTGCCGCCTCCTCAGATACAGACACATCAGTTTGACGCTGCTGCCCTGCAAGCGGCTGTGAGGGATAACACGCTGCCAGCTCAGCAAATGCTGGAGTGGGTTACAACCCGTCTTACTCCGGACATGCAGCCGGCGTCATGGGATCGCCTTCTGGGCGAAGCCTCCTCCAGGTTTTTCCCTAAGACCCCGGTGGCAATGCCAGAAAGTCCGGAGACGTGCATTGCCAGAAGAATGTGGCGCTCTGCACGAGGGAGCAATGCTCACACCAGTGCTGCATCAGCTACAGACGCAGCTGCCCGTCAACTGCTATACGACCAGCACAAACTGGCGGTCAAGCAGTCTCGCAAAGATCAAACCAAGCGGTTCCTTGCCGAGGTAGACCAGGCTCTCAATCAGGGAGACCAACACCTAGCATACCACACTCTCAAGCATCTTCGCCCGTGGAAACCGGCTCTGAAGGCTCAGCTCAAGGATTCGAACGGTTTCCTACTCAGCCCTGCTAACGAACTTGCAGAGTTGGGCAAGTACGCCACCAAGGTCTTTGCAGCGCACCCTCCGCTTCCTTCTGACGCGGGACTTCTGCCCCTACTGCCGCAGACTAAGCTGGCGAAACACATAGCTTCGATAAAACCTGGAAAGGCAGTTCCGAAAGGAGCAGCACCAGCCGCAGCCTGGAAGCTCTGCGCACAGCCGGTATCCGAGGCGCTCTCACATTACTGTTCTGCTCTGACACAGGACCAGCCACTAGACGATGATTTGACACGAGCGGATCTCTGCTTGATCCCCAAACCGGGCAAGCCGGCTGACAAGCCTTCCCAGCTCAGACCGCTGGGAATACTCAGGCCGGATGCTAAAGGCCTGGCGGGAACGGCTAAGGAACTCCTGGAACCTCTCACGCTGCCATACATGAAGCCTCTCCCTCAGTTTGCATACCTCCCGGGCCGGGGTCTCTCCGACGCTCAGAGTCGAGTGGTACAGCACCTGAGAGAGGCTCGGCAACTGTGCCGCACTGCGAACCTTACCAGAGCGGATCAGCAGCGGGGACAATGTCCTGTCGGTCTAGTAGGCGGCATTACCTTTGCACTAGACCTATCACAGGCATTCGACACTGTATCCCGCAGCGAAATTTTGTCTCTGCTTGACGAACTAGGCGCAGACCCCCCCCTACAAAAACTGATACATGGCCTGCATCATCGATCCAAGTACAGGCTCCATTCACAAGGGGCGCACCAGGATGTGGAAACCACCACTGGCATCAAACAAGGCTGCAAGCTGGCCCCCACATTGTTTTCCGTTCTAACAGGCCGTCTCCTGCGCCGGCTGATAGACACATTTGGCTGGGACAATGTCCGCAGATACTTCACTGGGTATGCCGATGACTTTACCATGCATCGCACAATCCGTAGCAAAGCGGACGTGGACGCAGCTCACAAAATGATCCTACAGCTTTTGTCGGAGGTAGAGAAACTAGGCCTGCGAGTCAATCCAACCAAATGTGCCATTCTAGTCAAACTCAGTGGCAGAGAGGCAGAGGCCACGCTCCAGAAGCACACCTGTTGGCTTCCCGACCAAGACGGCAAACTCCAGCGTCACTGGCGACTAGGCAAACACAAGTCCTTCCCAGCCTACAAGCTTGAAACACAAATCAAGTACCTGGGCATTCAAATCTCTTATGGGAATTTCGAAATGCAAACGCTGCGCTTCCGTATAGCGGAAGCTGCCAAAAAGCTCCAGCAGGTCAAGCGATTTGTTTACAACCGCAGAACTGCAGGGCCAATGGCCAGGTTGAAGGTTTGGTTCACCACCGTATGGGCCACTCTGGTCACAGGACTTCCTGAAGTCGGCCTCACGGAGGAAACAGCCCGGCATCTCCGAGGTTGGTATGCACACAAGCTACGCTCCGTGCTTAACCAGCCTGTCCATGTCAGCCGCATCTCCACAGCTGACCTATATCAGCTGCATTCGATTCAGGACCCGGTGGCAAAAATCCGAGCTCGGATGGCTTCGCGACTAAAAAGACTGAGCAAACGACCCGACATCCCTACCCCCGAGGCTGACACTTCTGTCCAGCGGATGACTACTTCCAGTGCACCTACGGTGCAGCTGGGCCCGTGGGCCAGACTGCGTCCTGACGCGCCGGCCTCGGCCACAGGCTCGAACCCTACCGACATGGCAGCGTACGGTGATGTCACGTGTCTGGGACATGTCCTACAGGACCTACAGGACATGCTACGCGAGGTGGACAATCTTCCGGCGAGCACCGAGGCCTCGCAGCAGCGGTTGCACGACTCTCCTCACTGTGCGTCTGGCTTCGTCTCTGCGCATGGTCTACATATGCACATCACAAGGATGCATCGTGATCAAGTAAAGAGGTACATTCCTCCTACCTTTGATCGTAGTCGGCACTCCAGGGACGGTCTACCAGTATGTTCCGCATGCGACAAGGCCTTCCATCAATGGAAGGGCCTACGCGACCACTTGTTGTCGGGAGCCTGTACGCAACCGGAACGCCTACGACAGCTATCTCTCACCACCGAGGAACAGCTGCAAGGCCAAGCTCTCAGAGGCTTAGCCGCCCTTCGGGCTACGGTGCAGAGTTCGCCAAAAGACAAGCTCAGCAGCATAGCCTCCCGACCGGAAGCTCTAGAACTCAAGCACAGGTGCATCTTGTGCGGATTCTGGACCCCCGATCATACCAAGATGAAAAATCATCAACGACAGGCTCATGCACAGGTCTGGCAACGAGATGGTCCGGCGGCACTCAAGCTTTGCCAGGCCTACACAGTGCAGATGATCAAAGGACACCCATGTCCCTTCTGCAAACTGCAGGTCTACGACAAACGCAAGCACCCAGAGCAGTGCATAGTTCTGTTCCAGGTCCTGTTCGGATGGCACAAGGTCCAGGGTAAGGACAAAACGCGGGAACAATGTTCCAAGCCTCAACCAAAGACCGCGGTGACAATGTCCCTAAGTGGCTTCTTCGGGACGGCGGACCGCTCTGCTACTCTCGCTGCCGCTGCCTCCACCACGGTCCCCACGGCGACGGCGAGCACCGCCGCGGGACATCTCCCACCAGGCCTGTACTCACGCATGCGACGCATGATGAACTCAGGCAACACCTGCTATGTCAATGCGACCATACAAGCCCTCCTAGCCGCGCTTGACTCTGCGTCCAACATAGCAGAACTGGGACCACTGGTCGAACATTGCATTAGCCCAGAGGCGGATCCAATGGACACTAGGCTTATCAACCCCCCAAGCCTTTTCGCCCTCCGGTCGTTAGTGCCTAGATGGCGCTTTGATGGCAGACAACACGACACCTCTGAATTTGTCACGAGTCTGCTAGAACATCACACCGGAACCCTACAACCCGTGCGCTGGGAGGGACGTACAAATGGACTGCCAGAAAGAGAAGACGATGGCCTTACGCCGCTGCTGCTACCTCTTTCCTCGGACTGTCGTTCACTGCAGCAGGCCTGCATGGCATGGTACAACCACATGTTCCAACGCGCCCTGGCATGGGCCCCAGACATCCTGCCCGTCACAGTTGCTCGATGGATGGACGGCACCAAACGACGCACCCCGATCGATCTGCGCAGGCAAGTCTCACTGCCGACTTGGACGGAAGGTCAGGACCGCCAGTGGCACCACTTTTCAGTCATTTCGGGGGTTTTTCATGTAGGAGCGGAAATCCACTCAGGCCATTACCGGTCTTTCTGGATCCATCCGCATGGAGGTGCGCTATACGTTGGCGATGACGCCACCAACCCACATCTCGCCTCGACCTCAGAACGCAAACATGTTTTGGAAGATTGTTATCTCCTTTTCTTGAGAAGACAGGAGTGACTCTGACTCACCCTCAAGGGGTGAGTGCTGGCCCTCCCAGTCCTAGGAATGCGTGCACCACTAGGGTGCCTGTGCGTGGGAAGGCCGGACCCCACAATAGGTGGGCATGGCCCCCCCCACGTCAAGGCCAAGCATGCTTTAGGCATGCGCAGGCTTACCCGCAGCTTTTCAGGCTGACCCAGCATGGCTGACAAGATCCACAGCCCAGACCACAAACGTGGTCGCACCACATCTCCCCTTGCTTCAGATTCACTGATGGGCGAACCGTCAGAGTCTTTTGGTGTCGATGCTCGACGCCAAGCGACCGGCAGCGGCAAGCAGCGGCCAGGCAGGGCCCTGCACGCCCTTTCCAACGCCGAGCTCACTCAAGGCTTCCTACTACATGAAGAACAGCTTGCCCTACTACAACTCCAGGCCTCGCTGGTGTACAAGCTACCCACGGACGCCCCCCTAGCACAGGCCCTAGCAAAGGCCGTGGCCGCGTGGCAGAAGGGCCACACGCCAGGGAAAGCGCACCCACTGGGTTCATGTGCACACTTCACAGCGGGAGCAATGCTCGTCCAGCTGGCCCAGTCTCAACAAAAGCCACCAGGCATTGACACTGCACAGTTCAAGGCCTTCATCAAGCTGGTCGAGGACTTCGGCGAATCGCCGCATGAGGCTGTGATTCATCTGGTCGCGCACTGCTCGGCTCGACAGAACGCTCTCAAGACGCACCTTATCTTGGACTTCCGACCGGTTCTCCACTCCCCGCTTGCGCAGTACACCTCGCTGATTGCGGCCCTCCTGGACTCCTATGAAGGAGAACGCCTCGGAAAAAAGGCCCCGGGTGGCCTGGCTCGTAAGGCGAGGGGCAAAGCTGGTTGAAGGAGAGGTGCCAATGGCAGCAGCTGGACACGGCCTGGCTCAATTAGAACAATCTCTATCTTTCGCAGGAGCAATGCTCGCCTCTGCTTGTTCCTGGAGTGCACTGTCAGCCATAAGCTGTATCACTCCTGTACACAATGACAAGCAACCAGGCAACCACGCCTGTGGCAAAAGCACTGATCTTGCGCCTGTGTTCCCATCTTTGCAGCGATCTGCCATTGCTAGGCAAGTGCTAGGCAGCGTCTAATTTTGTGCCACGCAGCCTTTCCAATTGCCAGATCGCATTCTGAGTCCCTTCCAGCCTCGTTGCCGCCCAACATGCCAGGGCTGCAGAGTCACATTGATCTCGACTACTACGTTGCCCAATGGGACAAAATCCGCGAGCTCGGCCTGGACAAATCTACCACAACAGTGGCGACCTCGGCAACCTCAGGCGACAAGGAACGGGCCATGCAGACCAAAGAGCCCACTGCTACATCATTGCCGTCGGGCCGTCAACGCCCACCTACGCCACCTCGCTCACCGAAGAAGCGCCAGAACATGGTGAACAAGATCCACAAATAGCGACAATGCCATTCTGAGACTCGGGTGCGCACAATGAGCGGCCCTCACCCTGAAGGTGGTCAATGACCTCCTGCACCACGCTGCTAGGATGGAAAAAGTTTCGCAACTTACAGGATCGCTCATAAATAATGCAAGCTGAGGGCAGTCAGATCCTCCATAATTCGCTAGCGTACATGAGACTAAACACAGAAGGATCAAGTCAAAGGCCCGGCGCTCTGCCGCTCCATTCCGCTTCGCACATGGCGGCTCCTTCTGACACTACGGCCCTGGACAGCCTTCACATCCGATTGGGTCTAGACCAGGACCCCCATCGCATGGCCACGGCTATAGTGGCAGCAATGACGGACCACGCACAAACCGTGCAACGGGTCCCTACCCCCTGCACCTTAGCAGGACCCACGTCGGCCGCTTGCATCAGTCTCCTGAAGGGCACGGTCGGCAAGACAGTGGGCAGAGGCTACACGAGCACCGTCCACCTGTCTCATGAGGACCCCAACTTTGTCATCAAACAGGTCAAGGTGGAGCACGAGGCAGACTTTCGGAAGGAATTGCATCGAGTTACAAGACTTCCGCCTCTCTCCGTGATCAACACCATCTACGCGGCAGACGGCCCCCGGGCACTCATGCCGCGCCTTTGGTCAGCTCCTCGTCCTCTCACCGGGGACACAGTCCAGCGACTTAAATTCGACATCGCGGCTGCACTGCAGATGCTGCATTCAGCCCAAATCGTTCATGGGGACGTGCACGCGGACAACATCATGGTCCGGCACCAACCGGCCAGTTTCGTACTGATTGACTATGGCGGCTGCTCGGGCGAGGCCATATACCCCTTGAGTAATGGCTACGGCGCCAAGGGATATGGAGGTGATCTACATCGTCCACCAACCCTAGAAGCTCCACCTGCTCCAGTCCGGACGGCGTATGGGGATTTCTATCGGCTGAGCCAAACGATCCTCAAACAGTTCCTGTCGGATGAGGAGCCTACCAAACGACGCAAGGGCAGCGGCGTCAATGACGGAGTCAGCAGAGGAATTCCTAGCCACATGAAGCGCGAATTGCAGCTATGGCTAGAGCGGGACCAATGGCCACAGCCCATCTATCCCAGCTCCCCCTTCCCTGCTGGCTCCTGGACGGACTCAGCCTTTAACCCCGCGGTCACCGTGCATGCTGGCCTGTGGCGAGCCAACGGGGAACTCCGGTCAGATACCGCCACCTTTGTCAGATCAGACGACAAGTTTGGCAACAACAACGGCTCACTGGTTCCGGAAAAGCCGGATCCGTCAGATCTCTCACCTGGTCTTGGCTCCTGGGAAAAGTCTGCTGTTTGGGCCAAGTTCTACCTTTCTACGGAATTGAGGACCTGTGGCCGACATCTCCGGTATGTATACCAAGAGATCTTTCCCTGGGAATCCTACTCCAACCAGGACGGCTACTTGGTGCTGGACAAGCCCCCTCCTCCGCCTCCGATCAAGCCAATCGAGCCGAAGGAAGAGGCGGTGTCACTGACAACCCCAGCATCCCAAAGCGGGGGCAAGGCCCACTCTGCTCTGACCCAGGCATCGCCTCCATCCCCCACCTCTCCTGTGAGCAAATCCACCATGGAAGCTGTCCCAACTGCTCCAGGGTCAGTGAATTCGCAGCGGGACCCCCCAAGTGCTGCTACTGTGCTGCCGGGCATCTGGGGAGAACCTCCCGCCCTCCCTGCGGCGGACCCAAATCCCTCGCAGACCTTTGCTGCTCCACGCCAGCCCCCGCCCCAGCCCATGCCGGCTACCTTGGACCCACCGGAATCAGCGCCTCCTTTTAACATTGTCATGAAGGAAGCTCCGGTCTATGACCCGAACGCCAGATTCCGAGCGATGGCAGCCTCAGGAGGCAGCGATGTCCCCTTCGACACCAAGGGCCACATGCTCCAGTCTGGCGATGCTTTCGTGGCTCGAGATCTCGCAAGGACACCCAAACCAGGATCTCGCAAAACCACCATCGAGGATTGGTCTCGAAGCCTTCACACCGCCGCGGACTTGCTGCGTGGCGTCGCGGGGGATATGCAGGCATACCCAGAACGCTTCCTGGAAGAATGCCCCTTCCCGACACCCCCACCGCCCTAATGCAGCTGGGACAATGTCCGCACATGTCATCCTGATGGCGACACTGTCGTGCTAGAGCTGTATCGGCCGGTACTCAACTCTTTTCTCCTTTCTTCACGAGCCTGTCGGCTCACACGCCGCTGTACATCATCACGGCCTCTTTCTCTTTCAGATGATGCTGCTGCACATGTTGCAGTTCGGATTGAAACAGAGCGACGGTTTGAGAGTGCTGCTTTCGCCAATGCCGCATCAGCTGGAATCCACACCGGATACTAGGCTATCAACCTCTCATACCATCATTCCTGCTCACACCTGTCGGCTCTCAGACCCAGATAGATGGTCTGGACGCTCAGGCCAACCAGCTGCCCCTAGCGATGTGGAGGCTCCGTAGCAGCTCGGGATGTATCCCCATGGACCTAGATGAATCTGACGAGGAGGCCCCCGAACCGGCACGCAAATGCCGTCGCCCGACACTCACGATGCCAACGGCTCAAAGCATCCTTCGGTCGACCTCTCCAACGACTGACGAGGACGCGGCACAAGAGGAGGAACGACAGGGCTCCATCTTTTCAGCCCTGAGCCTATACGCTCCACAGGCGCAGGCACCAGGAATATGCCTACATCTCCCTCCTGACATGGATGAAATGGAGCACAAATTCACCCTTTGCGCAGTCGAACAGGCCGCGGCGGACTACCTACATCGCAGGTGGGTCACCTTCGAGCAACTGGATGCCCTGCTGGACATTATGCCTACCACCTCTGCCTGTCGCCATGCATCGGTGGCACTGCCACAGTCTGCTGACCAGCGGATTGTCACATTCGGCGCCTACCAGCAGGGGCCAATGGCCGGTCTGAGGACACCAACGCATCGGTTTCCGATGGCGACGTGTCTCCTCAACACGGTCGTGCACACCATGGCTGGACGCCATCCACGCACGACACTGTTTCTGGCACGAAATATGGCCTCTGGCTTGCATATCGACAACAATAAACAAGGGGTGAACAACATCCTGATCCCTCTCTCCAGATTCGAGGGCGGACACCTCTTCGTGGAGGACAGCGCCGGGGACTACCTGTTGGACTCCGACGGACCCAGAGGACAAGTTCTCCCCGTGACCTTGCCCTACCTTAGTTTTGATGCCTCACACCGACACCTGGTACTGCCATGGACGGGACGCCGACTCATACTCGGTACTTACCACATCCGAGATGCGGACAAGCTCTCCGCGCATTCCGCTCTGTACCTGAAGTACACAGGCTTCGAGGCATGTTGCACAGCTACAAGCTCCTCCAGCTTTCAACGGCAGCACAGCTGACGTATAGCGCTGCGCTGGCATGGGGGCAATGCCCAGCAGGTTTTCAGCTCACAATACGGAAGCTGTTGCACGCCCTCTCTGAGCAGGACTGAAACACGTCCACTAGCTAAATCAATTTTGACCAACAGCCTCAGCTGCCGACACCCCCCTGGCGGCTTGGTGACTTGAAAAGACAGCAGACACACACTGCTCTTATCTGTCAGCGCGAGACACACGGATCGCTCATGTCTATTGCTACTGCTGCCGGCATCTCGCTCTGAGGTCCGACGATGCTCTCAGGCGGCCCCTGCCGACGCCGACCTTCTGGCATGGCCGGACCAGTGCCCCTGCCCACTCGCACAAGCCAAGCTCACTCTGCAGCGTTGCCTCAGCGTGAATGCACTTGCAGCTTTCCTGCTGCGCTGCCGGGCTCAAGATCACTGCAGGCATCAAGCATAACAATATGCAAAGCAGAAGGCTCAGGGCCCAGAATTTCGACTATTACAGCTTGCTCTGCCCTAGGCTACAGTTCTGACATTCCTGCGCAGCTCCTCACAGCCTCAACTTCCCCTAGCCTGGTAAGTGTGCGGTGCTCAAAGAGCACAGGCAACCGGGCATGGCAGCCACACCTACCACGCCGAAGCCCTTCTTGGTGCTTAGTGACAGCACCTTGCAACACTTGCTCTGGAAGGGGGCCAATGGCCAATCCTACGGAATCATTGACATGGTTCGGGGTGCAATGCACGGCTATGTCATCTCCTGCCCGGGTACCACTCTCACAGCAGAGTACGCGGGTGCGCAGCCACCCAACCCAGCGGTGTTGGAGGTACTGGCCTGGCAATTCATCCGCGTCCTTGGAGAAACGCGACCTTTCCCGGCGGAAAGCCCTGCATTGATCAATTTTCTCCGGGATCATTACTATGACGAAGTTAGTGTGCGCCTGATCCCCATCAGACAAAGCTTATTACCCCATAAGCAGACGAACTACGACTGGATCGCGGAGCTCAGGGACCAGTATGGCCTGGGACGGTACGAGCTCAGCGATGAGACCATCATGAGCCTCCAAGGCCCTCCTCCCCTGGTTGACCAAATATACAACCAAAACAACTGTCACTTTCGACCGACGGTGGCGGATCAGGTCATTGGCTTACTGGTATCCCGCTCAATTCAAACGATGCGGCGACTGAAGCCAAATGCGATCCATGTTCTGGTTGTGTGCTCATGGAATTGCCAGGGGGACAATGTCCACAAGGAGATGAACGCCACATTTGACCTGTGCTGCTCGGAGACACTGTCTGAGGTGGGTGCGGTGGCTGCTCGACACACGGGCAAGGCATGGGCCCTCAGGCCCTTCCTGGAACCCTACGTCAGTCGCCGGCCGATGCCCCGCACTCTTTTTCAGACATACATGCACGATGACCACCCAGGTCCCAAAAGCATGTGCCAGGAATTCCTGGCTGACTTCGAGCGCTCCTTCTGCAATGACGAGGTTTTGCTCGAGACCCTTCAGGTGCACGCTGGAGACGCCGGAGAACACTTGATCAAAAGCTTGAGGCAGCCTGCTCACAAGGCTGATGTCTTCAGATACGTCTACCACTATTTTCATGGTGGCCTGTAC